AGTGTTCGCTATACATATTTCCCTGCCTTTAGTTGTTAGTTAATCGTATTTATTTGAAGGTAAATCACGGTCAACAACGTGATCATGTACTACTATTTCGTGACTACTTAATGTGTGTTACAGACTATAAATATTTATTAAAAATTATTAAAATATTACTATTTGTTATGTGAGTTAATATTCACTAATTAAATTTTAAATATTATTTTAAAGGTTATTATTAATTATTGCAAATGTTTTTAATATTATATTATCATTATATTTTCATTCTGTAACATCGTTGATGTATAATCTTCAACTCCAACTTTTTTCAGAAGTTTTCGAACATTAGTGATTTCATCTTCTAGTCTTTGAATATTTGCATTTTGCTCGTCTAATTGATATAGCAAAATTTTAATATCTTGGCAAGTAACTGAACTGTCATCTAAAATAAAAATAAATAATTTAATTCAAATATACTTTAATTAATATATTTTTTAATTTAAATACTATCATCATCATCTTCTCTTCTTCTTTTTCTTGATTAAGAAAGAGATACTGTTGCCTGTTTACGTTGATATCCAATCTCTTAAGTAGCAGCTGTCTCTCCTCCAGAAGTTCCAGTCTCATGGAATTTGGATTGCTACAAACGGTCGAAATCTAGTGAGTTTCGCAGTGTCAGTGAGCTTTCTCTAGAAGATATTTCAAATATTTTCATAGGTTATCATATATTTTCAGATCCTTCTGATATACTATACGTGTTGGTATAGATGTACTTTTTCTTTGAATTTTTTTGGAAAATTCATCAGGAAATTTTTTCAGATGTAATATTCTGTAATTTTAACATGGTGATAAATTTTCATAATTTTTCGTATAATATTACAAAAATTTATGGAAATTTTTGAAAGTTATTAAAATGTTAAAATTCCATAATATTATGTCAAAAAATTACGGAAATTTAATACCATGTTAAAATTCCATAATATTATGTTCAAAAAATTTCAGAAATTTAATGTTATGTTAAAATTACAGAATATTATACAAAAAATTACAGAAATTTATTACCATGTTAAAATTACAGAATATTACACTCAAAAAATTACGAAAATTTAACACTATGTTAAAATTACGAAATATTATATAAAAAATTATGAAAATTTAATACTGTATTAAAATTACAGAATATTACTTCTAAAAAATTTTTTTAATACTGTTAAAGATTTTTGTCTATTAGAAAATCTATTTATTATATTGAAATTTTTAGAATTTTATTATAAAAAATTTATATTAACATTAAAATTCCATAAATTTACATTAATACAAAATTCCGTAAATTTACATCAATGTAAAATTTTGTAAATTTACATTAATGCAAAATTTCATAAATTTATATCAATGTAAAATTTCATAAATTTACGTCAATGCAAAATTCCATAAATTTACATCAATGTAAAATTCCGTAAATTTATATCAACATCAAAATTCCGTCAGAATCCCGTAGATTTTTGTGGGTCCCGTAATATTACGGAAATTTAACATGGTGTAAATTTTCGAAAATTTTCGCCTATTAAAATTTACTGATGCAGAGTAACCACTGGTTACTCTAAAAAAAAATAATGGCTAGCATTTTTCCTATTGGATAATTTCTGAATGGTTTGTGCAGATCTTCTTATACATACAATCTTACAATCTCGATAAGACAATTTTCATTGTAAAGTTCTTGTTTAAATTTTTAAATTAACAATTGTAAAAATGGAATTTATGAGCAATATTAGTTCAGGGGCCGATATTTATCGTCCTTCTTTGTTTGAACTAATTGCACAAGAAAAATTACGAGAAATGATTCGACCAGCTTTAAGATACATTTTATCGGTATGGTTTAAAATTTTTATTAGTCAGTCAGAATTATGTTTAGTATATTTAATGTTTTTAATTAATTTAATTTAAATAAATTTAAAAGGTTTATGCTCAAAGATACCCAAGATATTTATTGAGAATAGTAAATCGATATGATGAATTATATACTATTATGATGTTATTTATCGAAAAGCATTACTTGAAAGAGTGGAGTGCCTCGTTTGCTGAAAATTTTTATGGTCTAAAAAGATCAAGGTTATTAAAAACAAAAATTAACCTACCAGAAGCTGTGCCTGATAAAGAATTACGGTTATTAAGAAATGAAGACATTTGGAGTTCTTTATTTTTTTTGGTAAATAATCTAGAGAGATTTATAAATAAATATTTATAAATAAATTTTATATTTAAATATATATTTATTATGTAGGTTGGGCTTCCCTATATCAAGGTCAAATTAGATGATTTATATGAAAAAGTTAGTGGAGGTGCTGGTGCAAGATTATTGGGCGAAATATTTCCTGTTCGCGATAATATCAATGAAGGTCATCTTCAAGTTGGTTTTTTTTTTAAAAAAAAAGAAAAAAAAGTTTCAAATGTTTCAAATGTTTCAAATATTTCTTAATAGTTGCTGAAATTTTTATTTATTAAAAATAGCTTAATCCCAAAGAACGCATACGTCGCTTATTACGAAGCATATTCAGAAACTTTTATCCCTGGGTTAATGCATTATATTATGGATCAATTTTGATTTTTAATATTTTTTATCTGTACGATAAGACTCCTTATTATACGCCTTGGTTAAAATTGATGGGGATTCAAATTCAGAGAATGAGTGCACAAGATTACGTATGTTATTTTCCCTTGAATTAGTTAATTCGCATTTTATATCATTTTTATTTTACTGAAATCTTTTCATTCATAATTACAATAATTACATTAATTACATCTAGCGAGAACATTATATTCGAATACAACGTCCACCACCTAACTTACAAGGAATGACACGAATTCAGGCTACTCGATATTTATTATCCACTATACTTTCACGAGGATTTAATTTTCTCAAAATCTTGTTACCTATGTCAATATTCTTTTTCAAGTTTTTGGAATGGTGGTATTCCAGTGAATTTTCAAAACGTGCCGGTGGTGATGATATCGAAATACCACCACCAGACATGATATCTGTAAATATCCTAAAAAATATATATATTTTAATATTCAAATTTATTCAGAATTATAAGCATAATGATTTTTTATTTTCTTCAATTTAGCCCGACCTTCGAGGAATTCCACTTCCCGAATCAACAAATATTTGTCCGCTTTGTACAGATAATTTAGCTAATCCAACAGCAATTCCATCCGGTTATGTGTTTTGTTATACTTGTATACATCACCATGTCGAGGAATTTGGTTGCTGTCCGGTTACTTTGATAAAGATTAATATTGATGAATTAAGAAGGGTTTATAATTCGACAATGTAAATTTTCCCCAGATTAGATATTATTTTATTTCGAAAAAAAAGGAATATTTCTTATATATATTATAATTGTAATTTACATTCTATATAATTTGAATTGATTTCTATATTTACTTATAACGAAAATGAACCGATATTCAAAAACAAACAAGAAAACTTTTAATAATTTAAATATTTTAAGATTTCTTCTGTTGGAATTCGCGTAACATTTATTAACCAATAGTAGATATATGGATACATCGTTAACTGTGGCTTTTTCGCAACAGCGAAGGCTTTAATCTAGTTGTGAAAATAAACGATGGCTATGCAAAGTGCACTCAAGAAAGTTTATAATAAACCGATAACCTGATATTTTTTTTTTAGAATAATACCCACACACTCCTCCCTCTAAAGATCATAAAAAACTTTCTTTGATGTCTCCTCAAGTATCAAAAAATGATCGATCCAATGTTTAATACTTAATATGGTTTATATGGTTTATCACACATTTTATTTACTTACTACTTGCCCGCTATAACCAACGCAGAAATAATTACTCAACGTTATATGTTTTTATGATATTTGTGTGTTCAGCCAACACTTTCTCGATATAACTTACCCGTTTCATAACTACCAATAGATGCCTCTTGGAAGTAATTTAAGAAAATACTACATATTTCTACATATCAATAATAATAATTCCCAAGTAAGTTTAATCAATTATAACAAATAATTACAAAAATACATTAATTAAACAGAAACACGTCAAAAAAAATATTTTAGAAAGGGGAATATTGTGATTTGTACATATCAACTGGTTTAAAACTGGTAACTTTATTATTATCGTATTATATTTAAAACTTATAAATTCAGAATTCCAACCCAATTTTATTATTTCTTTCGCTTTCGAAAATTTTGATGAATTTCAAGTTTAATTATTTTAATCAGGTATAAAATTGATAAAAATTGATGATTAAATTGTAATTTTTACTTTTCACTATATATATATTCTATACAAGAGAGAGAGAGACAACTGAGTTCCCATGAAACCACCAAAGACCACCGAAACCATCAATATAATTATCAATTGCCATTTCTTTTATCACTAACTAAAGATTCCATTTGAGTTCAAATACTTTCAATAAATCGCTTCTCTAATCGCATTTAATTTTTTCAGGTGAGCATTTATTCCAAATTGTTTGATAAAAGCAAGCAATTCCATAGCTACAAAAGTGACTAAGTTAAATTCCCTTCAGCAGCGTTACTGTTTATAACATGGTTTACGAGCACACGTATAAACAATCCACGTTCTAAAAAACGTGATTTCATTTTCTTAATTTGTAATGCGATTTTTTCTTTATTCCTCCAATTCGCGATTATTTTCTTCCCCATTTTCATTATTCTCCCCTTCAAACTCTTCCGGATTCTCTCCTTCCTCCGTCTCTTGATTCTTCTTTTCTTTATAACCTCTGGTCTTTCTTCTTTTGAGTTTTCTCCATTTACCATCATTAATATTCATTTCAAATAGAAAAGTTTCTTTGATTGCTTTCCCTTCCGGAGATCTGACAGTTTGTTCATGAAGTACGATATGTCGAAGTGCATCATCAGGTGAACTAACTCCCGATGAAACATCCATAAGTTCTTTGAGTTCATGAACCCCACCCAAAAAGTTAATAATAATTTGTCGTAATTCCGGATTTTTTTCAACTTGATTTGCTTGACTTAAAACTGCATTACAATTACAGTAAAACAACCTTCGATCCTTTGGAGACATTTCACGTGCAGGGATTTCCTCATAATTTTCATTATGATTCGATGGCTGCTCTGATGGTATGGAAGCTGGTGTGTGAATAGTGGTTTCAGATGTAACTTCGGGATTTGGTCCATTCGTCGGTGATAAGTTTTCTTGACTACGTTGTTCATGTTCTTCACGATTTTGTTCGACGTTAGTTAATAACTTTGTTGTCGAAGTTGGTGATGATGGTGAAACCAGTGTCACTTGATTAGGTTTATGAGGAAGTTCCCCATCAGAAATCACAATTGTCTCCTCTTCGATTGTTTCTTCTTCATTTAATTTTTTCTTTTTTCGTCCCCCGCTCTGTGACTCACTTACAGAATTAGATCTTGATGCCCTTTCTTTCTTCTCTCTTTCCTTTGCTTGTTTTGCTTCCTCTCTTTGTCGCGCTTTTTCAGCCTTTTCACGTTCCCTTTGCTGTTTTCTTTCATCTTCTTCGCGTCTTCTTTCTTCAGCCTTTCTTGCTCGTTCCTGCCTTTTAAGTTCTTTTTGATGTTGTTCTTCTAATTGTGTCTGTCTTCTACTCTCTTCCTGATTTTTGATAATCGACGTCCCAGTCGATATATCAATCATTTGAATTCGCGTTGGTTTTTGATATTTTTTTCTTTGGGAAATCTTAATTTCTGGAGATTTTAAGGCTGGACTAGTGGTTGAAGATCCAGTGTTAATTGATCCAGGTCTTTGAAGAGGAGGAATTGAAGGTCTGGGGATTGGCAAACTAAGTTGTGATGGTCTTCTCTTAGGTATGAATAATGATGGAGTTGAATTGGAACGGGCAGAAGGACCTATCAAAAATTATGAATTATAACAAAAGATAAATAAATGCTTATTTATAAAAAAAAAAAAATTATTTATTTATCATACAAATCATACGGAGGTGATGACTAACCTTGTGACTGACCACGATTTAGTTGTGAATCCAAATTAAATCCGTTGCTACTTGTTGGTGAGGTTAAACTTGGTGACGGTAACAACTGTAAGTTATTTAATTTTAATTGTCGGTCATGATTACTTGAATTTTCAGATCGCAAGTTAAAATGTAATGTCGGAGCATTGATTGAAGAAGCAACTGTGCTGAAGGATTCACATATTTCGCGATCGGTGAATGCATATTCTACTGGATAAAATTTTATTCCACTTTTTCTTATTCTGAAGGCTAAATCTTGCAAACCTATTTTTGCTTTTTCTGGTATATACTGTTCGATGTTTAAATCAATAGTTAAAGAATTTGGATATTCTTGTAGCATTCTAGAAATTAAGCGAACCCATTCGTCTTTATCATGTGTTCCGTTTGTTACGATCGCAGTGATCTCAGCTTTCAAACCCCCAACCAAAAGCCTCCTAATGCAAAGAATTGCAAATAACACACCAAGTTTTATATTATTAGTGTAAGTTCCCCAGTGACCATATATGTGTTGAAGTATTTCTTTTGACAACTCGGGGCCTACAACTGCTGGAAGCGTCCATGGGTTCGTCGACGCTTGAGTTAGCCAGGCCTCGATGCCCTCCGGTGTTGTTCGATCTATCATTTCTTCGTGGTGAAAAAAATTCGTTGACCGTGATATAATTGCAAAGTGAGAAATTTGTCACGATATGAAAACCTTTTTTAGGAAAGTTATCAGTTTTGTTACACAAATAAGCAATGATTAAAAATTTGGATGACACATGGTATCAGATGACATTTGTATCACCTTGAATTTAATATAAAGAGTGTGTCATAAAAGTATTAAAAAAATAAAACCTAAAATATTTAATAATAATTCATATTCAACGACCAACCACAAGTTGCACAAGTCATGATATCTAACTAATTATATGCATAAAAAAAGAATTTTTCTGCGGTAGTAATGTAATGAAAGTAGTAACAGATTATGTAAGCAGAATATTATTTAAGAGTGAAATGATTTAGCTTTATTTTTTATTTAAAAATATTAAAGATAATATATATTACTACAAAAAAACATACAAATTACCTAATAAGTCAAATGATTACTACAAATTATTTAGTCTAAAATATAATAATAATAATGATGATGATGATAATAATAATAATATAATAATAATAATAATATGAAAAAGATACAAAATTACTAAGAATTTAATAAATTTTTATCATATAAATATTAAATAATTTATGACCAGAATTTTACTGAATAAACACCTAAAAATGAATTTAATTATTAAATTACTTTTTTTTGAAACCAAATTTGAATGCAGATTTTTGAACCTAATTTATAAAAAATGAAATAAAATAAAATAAAATAAAATAAAAATAAATAATAATTTATTATTCATTTATTTACCAAATAATTTTGATACGAAATATTCATTTATTTACCAAATAATTTTGATACGAAATTTAATTAATGAGAAATTTAAACATACCTCTGATTGATCTCCTTTTGATTTGTTTATACCAAATGCTAATTTTGATTTCGTTGATAATTTATTTTCTTCTACTTCCATATCATTACTTTTATTCTCTATAGGTATTGCCACCAAAGAATCCCGTGGTTTAGTTAATTGAGTAGATTGAAATATGTTTGTTGTGGACCATCCTCCATTGTTCGAATTGTTCGTATTGAATGCATTGTTCGCATTGAATGCATTGTTCGCATTGAATGCATTGTTCGCATTGAATGCATTGTTCGCATTGAATGCATTGAACGAATTGAATGCATTAATCGAATCGTTCGAATTGTTCGATGTTGATGAAATCCATCCACTAGTATTGCTGGTTGTAGTTGCACGTACAAAATTCCATCCATTTTGATTGTTGTCATTTTGATCATTAACTAAATTATTTCCTATAATATCGTCTTCGTTTTCTTCCATATTTTTGTCTGCATCATTATTCGAATCCTTAATTATTGATGCCCAACCTCCACTATTATTAATTGAAATTCCTCCTCCACTAATTTCATTAGTTAAACTCATTTCTACCTCATTAACGATAGATTCATTTGCAGTATTTGTAACTAATTGTTTATTACCAGCTCTTTGAAGGGCGGCTTGTTGAATTCTTGCAAATTCTTTTTCTTCTCTTTTTCGTTCTCTTTTGCGTTTTTTATCCAATTCTAAAGAAGGGCGACTACTCTTATTCATCTCCTTGAATCGCTAATGTGAATTATGTAAAAAATAATGTTAAATTTCTCATTAAATATAAAGTAATTCATTGTTTTCTGTTTTCTACCTTTCGGTGATTATGATCATATGAACTTAAATGAGTTTCATATTCGGTAATTTTGGTATATTGTTTATCACATAACGGACAATAAAATGCCGCATTAATAGTTTCTAATTCTTTTTTTATAGATTCAAGTTTTTGAACTTTGGACTTTTTGTAAAACGAAAATAATTTTTTATTAATTCCTAATTTCAGATTTATAAAATATAATAAATAAATAATGTAAAAGAATATAATTTCAATAAAAACCTGTCTTTTTATGCGTTCCTCTTCCGTTTCTTCTGCGATTTTTTCACTATCTAAAGCTTTACGTTTAGCAGTACTTGTCGCATGATAATAATTTTCTTCTTCAAGTTTCCCGACACCTAAACTATCTGATTTTGTATCAATTCGAATTGGAACTTTTCTTCCTATAAAAATGTTAACATTTATATATATATATATATATATATGTATATGTATATTTTTTTTTTTTTTAAAAAAAAAAAGAATTATCACATTTCAAAATATCACACTCAAATATCATTAATAATATTTTCAATTTTGAATCGATTATGTCAAACAACACCTTGTTGTGAACTCCCTAATCCTTCACCAGCTTTCCAACCCATTTTCATTAATAATTGGTATCCTATATTATCTTCCGGAAGATGTTCATCCATACTAGCCATGTTTGTGCTTGATAAATCAAGATAAGCTTGAGGTACATGACCACGAGGAAGTGAAAAAATGGGGTCTTCAAGTGGTTCATCCATATCTTCAGATTGTTGGTTATCGTTTAACCAAAATTCCTGTTATTATGAAACACGGTATTTGTGCAAATGGGAAAGAAACGATACAGGGGATGATATAAAGAAAAAGAGAGGCTAAGGGTAATATATGCACTTTGTCATGAACAAAGGTTTCTTGTGAAAATTAACCCACTCGAAAATATAAAGACAGGAATACTTTAAAAACGCTTTTAACTGATTCTTTTAGTAATCGCCCAAAAATTGAAATGCTAACCTGTGTATTCGAATTATGTTGAACGTCCATTTTGATAATTTGAATGTAGACAAAGTGTTTTACGATCTAAAAATGAAGAAACCTTTTACTTTTTGATGATCCGATAATTTCATACAACCAATAAGAAAAGTTCATGTGATTGTAATCAAAGCTTTTCCGATTGTGACCCAAACTTTGTTGTTTTGATGTTCGTTGGTTTTAAATTTCTATCATTGAGAACGTTCATACAAAGTTATTCAACGTATTCGACACTCATTAACAACATGCGTAATAGCTTGATAGCAATTGTAGGTACAACAGGTGTAGGAAAATCAGATTTGGGAGTTCAATTAGCGAAAACTTTAAGAGGGGAAGTTATTAATGGAGATTCTATGCAGGTGATATTTGCTTAAATTTTATAATAGAATATTCTGTTCCTAATTTTTGGGTTTTATCGGTTTTGTTAAATTCAAAGAGAATTATTTATTATATGTAGATGAAATATATTTGGAAATTTTAGTTTAAATTAGAATGAAACCTTTCAATAATAATAATAATAATAATAATCAAGGAAAATTTTTATATATAGAATTAATTATTTGTATTAATTTATTAAATAGGTTTATAAAGATTTGAATATCTTAACAAATAAAATTCCCATAAATGATCGGGAAGATATTCCCCACCATCTTATGGATTTTCTTGAACTTAATCAAGAATATCGTGTCACTGAATTTACAAAAGATGCACTTAAAATTGTATGAATAAAATCTTTCGTCATTACAAAAATAAAAAGTTTTTATTTTATTATCTATTATTATAATTGCAATTATTTAAAATTATTATTTATTATTGTAAATATTTAAAATTTATCATAATTTTTAAATCCAAGGCAAAAGAAATTCATAATCGTGATAGAATTCCAATAATTGTCGGTGGAACTCATTATTATATACAATCACTACTTTGGAAACATACTCTTGTTGGTGATAATGAAGAAGAAGGATTAGAATGTGAAGAAATTCTTAACGCAGAAACAGAAGTTCTCTATAAACATCTCCAAGAAGTCGATCCAGTAATGTCTAATAGATGGCACTGGAATGATAGAAGAAAAATACGTAGAAGTTTACAAGTACGAAAAAAAAAATTTGGTTTACAGTTATGCGTAATTTTTTTTTTTTTTTAGATTTATTCATAATATTTACGATTAGATTTATTTGCAAACGGGGAAACCTCATAGCGAATGGATTAAAGAACAACATCAATCTGAGGAAGAGACTTCTTTGAGGTTTAATATTAATAGATAAAATTTAGTTTTCTTTTTCTGTGATAACTAAAACTTTTTATATTGTTTTAAAATCTCTAATAAGATATCTTTAAGGTTTCCACGGACATGCATATTTTGGTTATATGCCGATCCAAAAGTGCTTGATAAAAGATTAGATGAGAGAGTAGATAAAATGATTGAGGTGAAAATTCGAGACAAAATTATTATTATACGTATTTAAATATTCAATTTACATTTTTTTTTCTGGATTTAATTAGAGAGGTCTTTTCAGTGAAATAGAAAGTATGAATAATCAAGTCAATGAAGGAAAAATAATGGGAAAGAAAATAGAATTCACGAGAGGAATTTGGCAATCAATTGGTAATTAAAAGAATGGTTTCAATTTCAATATAGTTTAATGACTTGATTTAATTTGTTATTTTTTTTGAACAGGATATAAAGAATTTGAACCTTACTTAATAGCTTTGAAGGAAACAGAAAAGAAGGATGATAATAAAAATATTGATAACGGTATGTAAAATGTAGATTTTTTCATGATTCTAAATTAATATTTTCACTCTTAATTTTTTTTTTTTTTTTAGATATCAAAGATTTAAATTCTTTAAAGAAACAATGTACGGAAAATATGAAAATCGCGACACGTAGATATTCTAGATATCAAATTAAATGGATTAGAAATAGGTTTTTATTAAAATGTTATCAAAGTAATAATATGAATAATGGCGATATTAGGATATACTTATTGAATGCAACTTGTATCCTTTCTATCTATATATTTAATTTTATCTTTGTAATTTACCTCTTATTATTATTAATTATCTCTAATTGGTACTAATATTAAAATAAAGCATTAGAAAATTGGAAGCAAGAAGTTTGTGATAAGGCTATTTCCATTGCTAAAGGTAATTTTTTGCTGATTTATATAAATAATTATATAAATATATATCAGTTTTCTCTATAATTTTATATAATTTTCTATTATTTAGAATATCTGGAAACCGGAAATGGACCTGATCCAATTTCGATTAATCCGGAATACTCCGAGCTTTTGAGTCCAGCGAAAGATACAGAGTATGTATATATAGAATTTTTATTTTCAAGAACTTTTTTTTTTTAATATATACATATATGTATATATATATTTATATTTATTTATTATTTATAAGAAACTAAATGAGACTTTCTTTATCTCCCTTTAGTACATTCACAACCTTAGTCACATGGACCAAGTATCAATGCGATGTCTGTACCTTTTTCAATGAAAATTTACCGGTGATCATAAATGGACCTTATAACTGGGATCAACATTTGAAAAGTAAGTGGCATAAATCAAATGTTAAATGGAAAAAGGAGATAGATGAAAAGTGGAATGGAGATTTTCCTCCATGGTTCAAACCTCGAAAAAACAAGGTGGTAAATATTTTAGTTGAGAATGCATCAAGTAGATGATTATTATATAGATTAATTTAATTAAATATTAACATTTTTAATATATTGTATAACGATAAAATAAAATTGAAGAAAATGAATTTATAAAAGGTATATAGGGTCACGGATAGAGATTAAAACAGTTAACCGTTTAACCGAGATTAACTGGTTAATCGCAGTTAAACAGTTAACTGGTTAAAATATTTTTTTATACAGTTAATTAACCGGTTAATTATAATTAATTAATTGGTTAAAGATTTTTTGGAGGTTCCAATCTCTAGTCACAGGTTCATAAATTTGTTAACATTAATCTATTTTCATTATTAATCAATGTGGAGATATATTTTAACCTTTATTGTTATTAATTCCTTTTCCTAAATACTTAAAGAATATATTTATTTGAGAAAATATAGACCCAATCACTTAACAATGATGCATTTTTTGAAGTCAGTCTAATTTGAATTTGAAACAATTACACCAGAGATCATCATCTTACATGATCGCAAATTCAAAGCTAATATAGCTCATTCTATGTAGCTAAATGGATCATAATATTGAAGAAAATTAACTTTAAACTCACAAAAAAAAAAGCTTACTTTTTAAACTTGTAGTGGCAAAAAAAAAAAACTTTTGTTGTTTCTTAAATGTAGAACTTGTAATGATAGAAATAAAAAGTATAACTTGAGTATTAAATTCTTAGTGACGAAAATGTGAAAAGTCAAACTTTTTAAATTTTTGATGATAGCTCGTGCTGAAAGAAAAAGTGGCTTACTGAGTAATTAAAGTTATATTTTTTCTTATTTTGGTAGCTTTCCGAAAAAAACTTTTAGGCGTATTAACACATTCAATCCATGTAATCTACTCATGAGCAACTCTCTAGAATTCGACAGGTGATATAACCGAAAATTGGTGTGGTTAATCAGTTTAATTAATGTATAACTAGGAAATGGTAAATAGTGTTCGAAGCCGGATATTTCATTCACTCCGAAAAAAAATATCGTGATTTGACTCTGGACCTTCAAGGGTAGGCCATTCACTCCAACATTTGTTGTTGAGGTTGTTGATACTGCAATCAGGTCTTCGTTTAATGATTTTTAAAAGTGTGTACTTTACGATGGATACATCAGACAACTCGGTTCGCTGATTGATCCAAAAAACAAAAGAATCTGGAGGTATAAGCGGAATGTCTTTCGTCGTGAATGTTCTTGGGGGGACATAAATGAAGATGACATTTTACCTGGATTTACGTTGGATATTGAGATGATCGAAAATGCCCTTTCCCAAGTATGTTGTCATTGTTTATTTATTTATTTATTTTTTATTACTTATACAGTAAATTCATATACTTTGATCTGCTATAGACACCAACACCAACAGAAACATTTGAGTTAGAAATCAAGTTCTCTGAGTGTGAAGAAAGTTTCACTGAACGTCATATTTTCATTATACACTATGAAAAGCGTCAAGCACTTAAGCAAAAGCATAAGGATTAGAAATACAATGGTTATTGTGAATATATTATAATTGTTTTCAAAGTATTATAAAGTTGTAGGTCGCATCTTGCGAATTCACGTAATATAAAATCTTGCGTGAAGCTATCTGTAATGAAATTTGTCTATGCAACCGCCAAAGTTATAATTACAAATTATAAAGCGTCAGACATCTCGTATGTCATTTTCATTTATTTTTTTACATGTTCTAACTTTAACCGTCTGGATAAAGTGATGGAATATGACATGTGCATTATACAGACTTTAGGTGGACATCGTCATTTATTCACCAATAAAAAATACATTAACTGACTGAGGAATGTATGATGTACTTGAAAAAAATTTTGCTATATTAATAAACTGTCGAATTGAATTGCACATTTATTTTTCGGCAATAACGAACAAAATCTCTGATTTTACTAAATACGTGTAATGTGATTAGTAAATTGCAAGCATTTAAAGTTTTGAGTTTATTCAATGAGACCCAATTCTCGAAGATACTCTGGAATAACAACATATGGTCCTCGTAATACCAAACATACCTTAGTGCAATCCCGTTCTTTTCGCATAATCTTTTCTTGAGTTGATCCCGTGCTTGCTGTTTGATAAAATTATTGGGATCGCCATTATGAAAGAATTTTATATATTTTTCGTGTTTTTCACCTTGTACTTCGATTTCTAGACTATACTGAGGATAATAAATGTCAATATATAATTTATTTGAGTGTTCGAGTGTTTTGAGAAAAATAGGCTGACGTATCTTAGATGGTGGTCCAAGATATTTTGACACAATCTCCCGACACAAATTTTCACGTTTGAATTTTGAGTAATATGGACACCATGTATTGTCATTTTTTATATGAGAAAGGGTAACATACCATTGATGGTTTTTATTACATCTCCAGAGTAACTGACTTATGCAATTAATTAATATATGAATCTGATAAACATTCTCCACCTCGGCTATATGCAATAGATTTTGCTATTGAATCAATCTGAGCAAGTCACAAATGCCCTTCAGAACATCTCCAAGAGAGTGATGTACGTCTGTTATGATAAGAACTGGAAAGACACATCCCACCCCTTTTATTTGCGAGATTCTGAGCAAATTCAAGTCCAAGTTTCATGCACTCGACATCTGAAAGAGATAGGCGAAATTGATGATTATTTTTACATTCCCATAAGAGAGAGCTATTATTAATATAATTCTCAGAAATACACATTTTTAGCGCATGCTAATTCTTTTGCCACTGAAATATCGAGTTTTCTATTTGTGTAATAAGGACATCATGAATGGCGATTTTTGATAGATCGAAATGAACAATTCCATTGATGATTTTTATTGCATTCCCAAAAGAATTGGAATTTCGCAGTTAATATATTCGTTGGAAAGGCATTTTCCTCCATGAGATTTTCAATATACTATGGAGTATTACTTTATGCAAAATTACAATTTACATAAAGTAGATGAACCTATACCTTCAAAAAAACAGAACCCATTTGTTCTTAAACATCCATCCAAAAATATATCTGTGGATGTTTGGTGAAAAACGTGGTCAAAAAAAAATACCAAAAGGCGGAAATTTTGGTGAAAGGTACATCCCATGTGATGATTTAATTGTTGTTGCTCAACACCAAGATGAAGAGTTGTGGGGAACAGTACAATGTTTTTATGAATTTATAGCTATAGATAAGCGAGCCCCATGGTATGAGCTAATCATTCCTGAAGAGTTACCTGATATTTCATCTTTTAAAAGAACAGGTCGATCTATTGTTACAGTTTTTGATGATCTTGCCGGCGAACTTCTAACAACTCAACTAAGAATCATACCTTTCTTTAGATCAGGTAGACATGCAATCATATTGCCCCAACGTTTTTATAAGACCCATCCAAATATATGTGCAAATCTTAAATACATTTCATTGCATCGTGGGTGTGGAACTTTAGATAGTATAAAGCGAATTCTTATGTATGATACTTATGAGCCTCTAGCAAAAAAAAATTTATGAGGTAATAAAAAAATATTTCGTGATGACCACTTATCAATTCGATTTAGATGGTATCACATAACAAAAAACATTAATTTAAATACATTTCACATTATTGCATACTAATAAATTATAAATCACATTTAATATAATAAGTTCCATTTTTATATTCTCTTCCTCATCATCATGATCTAATGAGCATATAGGAAGTAATCGTCAGTCTGTAGTAATCAATATTTTGCCAACTAAATTCTTTATATAAATTAGGATATCGCTCTAATGCTTATTACGGAAATAAGCATGGTCACAAATTGATTCATTTTTTGGGATGGCTTCGAAGTAGATGAATCGGAAACATTATATTCAGTGATATACTTACCTCGGTTTTCGATAAAGATTTAGATGCAATAGCATCCTCACTGCGTGAGATTTCCTCACTTATCTTATCTTCCGAATTAGAGGTTGTTGGAACGTTTGCCTTTGCTTCAGGCACGTGATTTTGAAGACCCGAGGTCGTCGAAATTTCTGTGGAATTAACATAATTGCTAGGAAAATTGTCGATAACCTTTTGAAGTTCTTCGTTGGTAAATTTTGAAATAGAATTCGCGCTATAGGTTTTAATATAACGAATCTTATCTATTCCTATTTTTTTGAATAAGCTAAATATTTTTATAGCTCTAGTTTGCTTACATAAGTTTTCTCGCTGTAATAAGTCGTAAACTTGACCTTTTGCTTTTTTTCTCGCCAATGTTATTTTCTGTGAGCTATACCCGGATACATTTCACAGGGGGTACTTTACCCTAGGGGATACTTTTGCCAGTGAATTACGGTACTAGAGAAGTAACGTGTCCAATTTATAGATCAGGTATCAGTTAATTGATTTTTTTAGTAAATAGTAATGTAGCCTTAACGAGTTTTCCGATCATTTACGTGATGTTCCCAAAGATCGTGTACATCATTCTTTTAAAATGGAGATTGGAGTTTTACGAAAATTGTTTGCGAACGAACACTCTGCTCAGCTACGTCTTATACAACTGGAAAGCCAACTGAAGGCAATGCATCTAATAAGAAACAGCCTGGGAACTAAATATCTATAGCTGTATGCTTATTGGTGAGTGAGCTGTGTGCTCGGGTGGGAAGTACTCGTTGAGTCAAGAACGTCTCTTCCTAAGGGATATTGTGTCTGTTAATACTTTATAAAGCCTGCGTGCTCGTGAACGAAATGCTTTTCGTGGTGATGAGGTGCGTCTACATCTAACTAAAGTATAACATTCCAGGCTGTTTATTATCTATAATTGTACTTTGTCATGTGTGTTGTTTTTTGCATTTAGCAACTAAACTACAATCTTGACTAATCCCAGGCGCGACAGTCAAAAAAAAAGAAACTAGAAACGCAACCAAATTGCTCGCCAAAAAAGCGAGTGTAAAGAAAGAACTGGAAATTGTTGAAGTTAGAGTTTTTTATTTTGGTAGTTATATAATAAGCTTATCCCTCGCGAAATATTTTAGGATTCTACGATTATCAATGGATATCGTCGGATCAATAAACATTACGACAGTTTTCACGAAGCAAGTACACAATTAGTTAAACGTAAGCTCTTAGCCGATAATGATCATTCTGATTCTAATCACGAAGTAGATGGTTCAAAAAGGTGTCAACAACAATAAAAAAATTTAGTTTTATTAAAAATTCTCAATCATATGTTGTATTGTATATGATTTATATTTTACCGATTTAATATCAGAAAAAATGCATGTCTATCCGCTTTATTGATATAGATGTTGGATACATGATAAAATAATAATAAATTTTACTATGATTTTTTGTTAAACTTTATTAATCACATAAAAATAGATTTTTTTTTTCCAAACTTGTAAGCAAAATATTTCTTTTAAAAACTGTATATAGTCAGATCTCTCTATAGTTACATTATAGTTACATCTTATATAGTCGTATAAAAATCTCTTTATAGTCACTTTTCGTAAAACCAATACCTATTAATGCTATATAAAAAAATCTCTCTATAATTACAAGGTTTTTGTAGTTACACCCTTTTGAAACCAATATTTAATAATGTTATATAAAAAATCTCTATATAGGCACAATCATTTTATAGTTACCTATTTTTTTTTTTACTGAAGATATAACCATAAAAGGTCTGCTGTACATTTTTATTATTGTATTTAATAAAAGAAACCTAATTAAAATTATTAAAATGATTAAAATAAAATGTAATATTATGAATATGTTGATAACATTTCTACTTTTCCAGTTGATAAAATAAATTTATATAAGAATTAATGTATCCATCCTTTAGAATGCCCATCCACCATTTGAGGTTCCAAAAATCCCCGAAATATAATTTTTGGTTCATTACTATCATCATCATTGTTTTCTTTGCTATCATCATATGACTGCATTTGCTTTGGTTCCCAAATTTCCCAACGTGCACCATATCCATCAGAGGTGCGTACTTCAAAAACACGTGTATCATGCTAAAAATATATATATATATCAAACATTAGATAATGGGTAGATAGATGCGTATAAAAAAAGAAATATCATCTTTTTACCGGAAGTGAATGCAAGTTAACCCAAGCTGCATTTGCTATAATTTTTGCCAATATTTGATTTGCTTGCTCGTTTTTCTGTTTTTCGGCTACATGTCAATCCAATAAATAAATAAAGTTATTAATAAAAATTATAAATAAAATTTATTAGTAAAATTTAGAAATCAAATTAGAAATATATAACTTACTTCCGCTACAAATTCCCCAAAAAGATCTTGATATATCTCTATGACAGTGTTTAGAAAAGGCCTTGGCCCCAACTGTAAGAGTGTTAGAAATATTTGAACGATTCGATTTAGCATTAGATTTTACATGACGGAGAGTAAAGGAATTTATGCATTCAATTAATGATGGTGGTGATTGTGTTGCGGATCCAAGAGTTGTACGAAGTCCCAAGAATGTGTTATAATCTTTGATGATTAAAAACTAATTAAAAAAAATTCTAATTAAATCTTCGAATGTAAATTTCATTTATCAATTTAAAAAAAAAATATATATATAATTTTTAATTTAATTTTAATTACTTTAAATAGAAATTCATTTAGATTATTTCGATGAATTTCTTCAAATACGAGAGGAAATCCATTCCATGAATTGATAATACGTTTCATTTCTTCCTCAATTTCTTTCATTCTAGTCTTGTAAAAAAAATTATATATTAATACATAAATTATATTATTAAAAAAAAAAAAGAGATAAATTTTGATCAGCAAAATTTTTACCTCGCTAAATTAACATTTTCAAGCATGTGTACTTGACTAGTCTTTACACTTTGTGGAAATTCACCATTATTTTCAAAACAATTTTTGAGCATTTCGACAAATGCCAGATAAAAAGGTCGTTCTAGAATTCCCTTAATAAAACGAGAATTCTTATTTGGTTTCGAATTAATTAAAGATAATATACATTCATTTAGGTGATTTGATAATTCACTTAAAGTTGACGTGTCCTATTTCGAAATTTACATTTGCATTAATAAACCATTGATAAAACATTAATAAAAAAAGTTTATTGAAATATGAAATTCAAATACATGTCTTTCTTCTTGTAATAGACTTTTGCATAAGGTTGTCCAAGACAAATTATCACTAGAAGTCTCTTGCACTTTTTCATTTAAAAGTTCTTTAATAATATCAGCGAAATCCATCTTTAAAATATTTAAAAAATAAAATTGATTGTGTTCATCAAACTTATTGTGACACTAATATTTTAGATATTATATTCTTAATGATTAAATCTAATTCAAATTGGAATTATGACAGAAAATTATTTGATAATTGGGGGCGAAGGTTTTCTCGGCCGATGGATTGTAGATTTTCTTCTTAAGCGAGGCGATAAAAATATATCGACTTTCGATAAAGAGCAAAGATACTTTGACCAAGAGGTTATTCATTATGTTGGGGACATATGCAATTACCAGGATGTCAATAATGCGATAAGTAAAACCAATGTTACAACTGTATTCCATACAGCATCTCCTCCTCATGATGGAATACCTAATGAGGTATATTGGAAAGTTAATGTTGAAGGAACAAAGAATGTCATCGATTCTTGTATTGCAAATGGAGTTAAGAAACTAATTTTTACAAGCAGTTCGAGTGTGATTTACGATGGTGTTAATGAATTAATTAATGCCGACGAAACAACTCCATATCCTGAAATAGCTATGGATGCATATAATGAAACAAAAGTAAGAAAAAAAAAAAAAAGAATGTACTGAAATAATCATATTTTGAATTGTACTCTTAATTAAACAAAACAAAAAAAAAATAGAAAGAAGGCGAAAAACTTGTGAAAAGCGCAAATGGGAAAAATGGTCTCTTGACAGTTTGCCTTCGTCCTTGTGGTATTTTTGGGTGAATATTAAATTTCAAGTTGAATATGAATTTAATATCTTTAAAATATTGATGATTTATATATATTTTGGACTATCGTATCGTAAAAGTCCCAATGACCGACAATTGATTCCAGGAGCAATTACAGTCATGGAATACGGCCAGTCAAAATTTCAAGTTGGTGATAATTTCAATCTAGTTGATTTTACTTATGTCGAAAATGCTGCTCACGCTCATTTATTAGCCTCTGATAAATTAACTGCAGATAGTCAAATAGCAGGCGAGGTAATTTAAAATTTATCTTTTTTTTTTTTTTTTTTAATGTTGAATAATGTAATTTATTTTAATATTATATTATTTATACATTTTTTTTTAGGTCTTTATCATTACAAATGGAACACCTATTCCATTCTGGGATTTGATTAGATTTATTTGGGCACAATTTAATCATTTCCCACCATATATTATTAAATTTTCAAAATTTACAGGATTCATTTTTGCATCATTATCTGAATTTGCATGTTATTTCTCAGGTAAAAAATCCGGATTTACTAGATTTAGAGTGAAACTTACTACAAATAATCGATACTTTGATATTACTAAAGCAAGAAGATTATTAGGTTATGAACCAATTGTGGATTTAGAAGAAGGTATTAAAAGAGCGTGCGCATCATTAGTGAAAAGCAAATAATTTTAATTATATATTTTTTATTCAAGAATTCAAATTATGTATTTTTAGAATAATTTATTTATTAAGCTCATGTATAGAATTTTTTTTAACAGATCAGATGATCATGATTATTAATTAAATGTTAAAATTGTTTGCTTGCCAGTGATCTTATATAATCACCAAATTTGATATAAATTACATCAGAAACCATGTTTCCTTCTTTCTCTTTACCACCAGAGAGATTAAAGTATATGATTACTGTTAAATTTTTTCAAGTATTCAGTATAAGTATTATAGAATTTATGTTTTTTCAAGGGGGATAAGGAATAACACAATCTGATCTACAATAATCATCAACAACAAACTTTTCTTGTTTACCTGTTTTCCTGATGGAAAGATAGGAAAGATAACACTTTACCTGTTTTCCTGATGGAAGATAGAAAAGATAACACTTTAAAAGTATTCTTGTGTCTTATTTACCTAGTGAAAATCCAAAATTTAATTCTCACATCTTATTTACATTACTGTAAATATTCTGACTTTTGTACTTCATCCAATGATCAGCCAATTTTGTCCAAGAATCTTTTTGACATTACTCTCCATGTCATCATCATCATATTTTTGATAATTCGAAATTCTTGATCATCATAAAAACATTTCAAAAAATATCAATCTTTCACATCTGTAATAATTCCGAACACCTTGTTTATAGATCTTTCTTCTTCCATCCCGCCAGCCTTACGTTTGCGATTTGTCAAAGCTGATTGGCATTCTGAGCAACGGCCTTACAAAAATCTTTATACTTAACTTCTGTCACGCCAGCAGTTTTTGAAGTTTGGCGTAAGTCTATTGCGAAATCAACTGGCCAATACCCATTAGGCCCCTTAATTTTTTTTCTGATCGGATATCAAACATCCCTTTTATATATAAATTTGCACAAGAAAGAAGGTACGAAAACACAGAATGTGATTTTGATGCTTCATTTGTGTGAATTGGAGTAGACTCGAGACGAGCTTTTAATTCTGTTACTTGATACGGAGATATGAAATAAAATGCATATTATGCTAAGCACTTACGTGACAACTTGACAATAATATGGATATATTCCTCAGCTTTAAATAAAAATCTCAAAATGTTTAATTTTTAAAATATATGGTTTTTGACATTTATTAAAATAAATTTTTACTTATACATTAATTTACAATAATAAATTTTTTTTTTTTAACGTTTAGCTAATGGGAAAAATCTTAATCATATAATGTCACACAATAATGTTTGTCAGGTTTTTTCTTCGGATTGTGATACAATCGAATCATCAAAATTAAAATACTCGTTCAACTCGTCATCTTTGGGGTGTGGATCTGTTACCGTTAATACATTTTCGAAAATGAAACTATTTTGCTTCAATGTCATAACGGGGTGTGGATCTGTTACCGTTACCACATTACGTAATCTTGGATTATGTGATCTTGTCGGATTGTACGAGTACGGAGATGCAATCTGTCTCTTCTTTACAGATCTTCTTTCAGCTTCCCTTTTAAACTTTTCTTTTATTTCATTTTTTTCATCTCTCCACATTTGCCCAAGCTTTTTGTTAATATTCATCTTGGTCAAGTGAGGAAATTCCGTTCGTATTTCACTCGATTTTTCTTCTCTATACACGAAAAATGCATTAAGAGGACGAGGATAACGTGAATTCAAAGACATTGTCGTGATGATCGTAACAATGCTGCTTTAGCAATTTATGTTACCAATGACACTGGTGTAACTGGTACACCAAAAAAAATCCTAATTAATTAAAGTCTACTGATACGTAGATCACTATAATTCGCGTCAAATATTCTTTTGGAGGTTTATTTTCATAATGCAAAAATCAACAAAAAAATCAAATAAAAAATCAAATAAAAAATCAAATAAGAATGCGGTTAAAAGTGATGCCTATTTAAATATTAATGATCTTGAATGGTCAAAAGTGAAAGTTCCAGATTCAGTATTTATGGGAGATCAAGATGAATTAGCAGGTTTTTTATGTTTAGAAGAGATAGATAATGTTGATATTGTTGATATTGAACGTGAAGAAGTTTCTACTAAAGGGCACACTATAAGATTTGAAGTACGCCTAATATTATTTTTAGATACAAACTTTTCAATGATTTTCTGATTATTTATTTTATTTTATTTATTTTTTTTTTTTTTTTGGATGTTTTAAATAAACAGAAAGTTCAAAAAGTTCAAAATGAAAAAGTAATGTTCAAGAAAAATAATAAGAAAAATGTAAATGAGTCTCTAGATAACGGAGACAGTGAAGAATATGAAGACATTGACTCAAGTACTTAAAAAATTTTAATAAGAAAATTTTCATATTTTATATATTTATTATATTTATTATATTGAAGTAATTTTTTATTAGATTTAGATATAGATGTAGATGTATCTGCGTGGAATAAATTTAATCTTTCATTAGAAATTATGAAAGGATTGAAATCATTGAAATTTAATAAACCCACTCCAATTCAGGAAGAAGCACTTCCTGCTGGTTTATCAGGACGGGATGTAGTTGGAGCAGCAGAGACTGGTTCGGGAAAAACACTTGCTTTCGGTATTCCAATTTTGGATTATATAATTAAGCATAAAGGAACTGATGATGATGATGATGAAAATCAATTAGTTGGACTTATTTTAACACCTACTAGAGAATTAGCCATACAAATTAGAGATCATCTTATGAACATTTGTAAGTTTACTAAAGTGAAGGTGTGAAACTTACTAAAATTTTATAGTGAATTTTTATTAGTGAATTTTTTTTTTTTTTTTTGATATTTGAAATTTTTTATATAATTTAGTGCTAAATATTTAATATAAATGTTTATTTAGATAATGTCTATCGTTGGTGGAATGGCGATACAAAAACAAAAAAGATTATTAGCTAAGCAACCCAACATAATTATTGGTACACCTGGACGATTTTGGGAAGTATTTTCTGAGAATCATGATTACATTCAGACTCTTCGTCATATCAAATACTTAGTATTAGATGAAGCGGATCGAATGCTTGAAACTGGTCATTTTAAAGAATTAGATAATATCCTCACCATTTTATCTCGAAACTGGCAGCAGTAAGTCACAAAAAAAAATGGATATCTATAATAATTTTATCTAAAGTTCGGAAAAAAATAATGAAATAATTATTATTTCATCTTTTAGAAATACGAGTGAATGGAATGATGATGGGGAAATTGTAATAAATGAAACAAAAGGTGAACATTTAAAGTAAACATTAAATGGGTTTTTTATTTATTTATATAATTATATTAATTTTCTCTTTATCGTTTATAGATGTTGAACCACATCAAACATTTATATTTTCAGCAACTTTGGATAGTAATTTGAATGAAAATTTGAAACATAAATGGAGGAACAATTCAAGAAAAAAAGATCAAAAATCTAAAGGAACAATGGGTAATTATATTTATATTAATATTTTATTAATGCTTTATTAATATTTTATTAATGTTTTATTAATATTTGATTAATGTTTATTAATATTTTATTGATATTTTATTAATGTTTTATTAAAATTCTATTAAAAGCCGAGTTGATGCAAAGATTAGAGTTTTATGATCCTGATCCAATATTTATAGATATTACACCAAAAGATTCTGTAGCGGAAACACTTCAAGAATCTAAAATTGATTGTTTGGTTAAAGATAAGGTTGATTTCTGAAAATTAGGTTATCCTGTAAAACTCTAAAATTCTTTAAATTTCATTAAAAATTTTTTCATTAAAATTTCTTAGGATTTATACGTATATTACTTTATTACACGATATCCTGGTCGGACCATCATCTTTGTGAATAGTATCGATTCCATACGTCGACTTGTTCCTATTTTAAATTTATTGAATGTTGATGCTCTTGGACTTCATGCCCAAATGCAACAAAGGCAACGACTAAAGAATTTAGATCGGTATTTAAATCTAATGAATTTTTGAGTAATTTGAATACGTTATGTGATGTGACATAACATATTTATTATATTAATTATCAATTTATATTATTATCAATTATTATTACAAGTTTTAAACAGGACCCAAAAGCTGTAATGGTTGCTAGTGATGTAGCAGCTCGTGGATTAGATATTCCTCTCATTGATCATGTGATACATTATCAACTGCCACGTTCTGGAGATGTAATTATCCTAATTATCCTCTCATTATTATTATGATTATTAATAATTTTATTTTTATTAATAATTTTTATTAACATTATTTTAATTTATGCATTAAATTCTTATAGTTATATGTTCATCGAAGTGGTCGTACTGCTCGTGCAAGTAAAGAAGGTATTAGTTTAATATTATGTAGTCCTGATGAGTTGACTTTATATAAAAAGATTTGCCAAAAACTGAAAAAAGGTATTTCTATTTAATATATTTAATATTGATTGTTTGATTAACAAGAGAATATCATTTTTATTGTTTCTGTTTTTTTTCTGTTTTTTTTTTCTGTTTTGTTAGATAGGATACCCGATTTTCCAATTGAAGCAGGAATAATTAATGCAATGAAACAGAGAACTAATTTAGCAAAACAGATTGATCAAGAACAACACAAACTACAAAAAGTTCGTCTCATTGATTATTATTCATATTTAATATTTTTATTTTATTTTATTTTATTTTCTACTTGATCTTTATTAAAAATTATTTTTTTAATACTAATTTTAGAATATTCATGATGATAGTTGGATGAAAAAGGCAGCAGAAGAATTTGGGATAGAATTAGATGAAGATCTGTAAGTAATAATTGTTTAGTTTTTTTTTTTCATTACAAATTATTTATCATAATAAAATTCTTTGATAATAGAAGAGATGATAATGATAATAATAGAAGATCAAATAATAATAAAAAAGATAAAGTTCAATCATTAAAAATTCAATTAAGACAATTATTATCACAACCATTGGTTCCACGCGGTATCTCAACAAAATATTTAACAAGTGGTATCGTTCGTGATTTAGCTGATAGATTATTAGATGAATCGTCACGTAAGTTTTTAACTTTATTTTTATTATTTTTATTTTTTTGTAGTTGGCAAAATATAATAAAAATAATGTCTTTTTTCCTTTTTTGATAGATAATAATCAGATAATGGGAGTAAAAAGGACAAAAGCGACAGATGATTTTAAATCAAGAAAATCTTCGAAAAAGAAACGAAAGATTTCTTCATGAAGAATTTTTATTCCTATTAATTCTTTTCTTTTTTCTTTTTTTTTTTTTTAATTCATTCATTCATTTTAAATTCTCTCATTCTAATTGATTTCTCTTCATTCTATTTAATTTATTTTCTTATCAAGTTATCAAGATAATAATAAGTTCTCGGCTTTAAATAATCTCATATACTGATAACTTGTGTGAGTCCTTGTAAAAATTTCTTCCGACAAACCTACTTTTGAATATGAATCCTCACCTTTTGGTTCCCATTGTACAACTGTCGAATTTGGAGTAATTATCATATCAATAAATTCATGTAAAAGTGGAATAGCAACATGTGGATGTACAGTAGGAAGATATTCAACCTATTATATAATATAATAACTTTGGTTAATTAAAAAATGATGACAATAATAATAATAAAAGCCAATAATACCAATAATATAATATAATATAATATAATATAATATAATATAATATAATATAATATTTCTCTAAAAATAACAAACCTCAACCAACATGCCTTGATAAGAAGATTGAACAATAGTTGGATTAGCAGCTCGAACAATAAAATCACCTACACTATACGCGTTACCTTCATATCGTGAAGTGGGTCTATGTTGCCATAAATTTTTTAGACTTGAAATAACGATATCCATTTCGGTTTCAGTTTCAATAATACAATCTTCCGATAATACGAATAGTCGATTAATATTGGAATAACCTATAGTGTACAACTGTTTCTTTATCGTTTCACTATTACTAGCGATTTTGGTATCAAAATATAATTTCGCAGCAATCACCCAACGTTCGGGAGTTCGACACGCGAAAATTTCTGTCATTTTTGTATGGAAATGTTGAAGCGCGAGTGGTCCATTTTGCTCTTTAAGAAGTAGTACACTGAAAGTATGAAATGAAAAATATGAATAAAAATGTTTTTAATTAATTAATATTATTATTATCGTACCTTGTTACACCCATTATAAGATTTTTTTTTAAAAAAAAAAAAGTAAAATGAATTCTTTCTTTATAAAATTTATAAGACAATTAAAAAAATAAAAGTTTACATGTGGTACAAATTTATATATACAACTAAGTCAATTGTTAACTTTATTTATCATTAAATGAAATAAAAATTCTTGTAGTTATTATCCAAGTATCAGAATGATTTTTTTTTATAATGTTTGGCGAAAGTCATATAAAATTGAATCCCATTTATACACTTGGTTATATTGTTAATAATTATTTAATATCACATCTTTCTCTTCAATTTGTTGCATCTTTAATGAGTTAAGTTTTATTATTTGTTTTCCTATTTTTTTTTTATATATTTATTATTCTATTAACATTTACGATGTAAATAACAAAATAATTACATTTTATAATTTCATGGGTTGTGGTGCGGTAGTTTTAGTGATCTCGGCTCTAAACAAATCAAATTAAATATATAAAAAAATTAAATATAACAACAAAAAATTATATATATATATATATATTGATTATTTATTTGATTATATATTTATTATTCATTATTCATTACCTTAACTGTTTAGAAAAATCGTCCTCAACATCTTCATCATCCCAATTATCCTCCCATAAATGAGTTTCTTGGTCTTCTTCCATTTCATTCCAGTCTGAAATAATAATTATTATTATGATTATATGAATGATGATATTAATCATCTATTTAAAAGAACCATTTTCCTAAATTTAATTTTGTAATAAAAAAAAAAAAAAATTACCTTCGGCAGTGAATTCTTCAAATTCGTCGTCTTCCTCTAAAGCACCGAGGTGTGGTATAGTAACCTTTTGGGGTTGAGTATTCTCTTGCTGCTGTTGAGTTTGTTGATTATTTGACTTATTGTCATCATTATTATCAGTTTGTTGTTTTGAGTTGGAGGAGTTGTTATTTGAAGACATTATATATTTATATGGATCAACGAAACAGAAAATGTGAATGTGAAAAGATGATATCACAAATGCAGTCAGGGATTTTACTAAATCTAATTTTGTGTAACAGATCTGCTTCGTGTTACTAATTAAAAATACCAAAATTTATTATGTAAATAACTTGGAACGCGGTATTCATTTGATTTATATTTTCGCGACTTTCAATTAGATTTTTAAAGACATTTTTACAAAAAGTTAATTAATTTAAAGTAAATTTTACTTTAGAAACGTGTATTAAGTGACCAATCCAACTTACAAATTTCAAAACATCCCGAAGCCTTTCAAGAATAAAAAAGATAAAACTTTTTATGTCTTTGATAAAAAGACTGATGAAAAATTCTCATGGATTAAATTTCTTAAAAAAAAAAAAGTATATGGTCAGCATTAGCTACAATTTTTTTCAAAACAAATTCTTCTAGTTTTAATTTGCATCAATACTTAGAACAAAGCAAATTCCATATTGGAAAAATAAAAAATTCAACTAGTATTGTAGAGGTTATATCATTAATTAAAAGCAAATATAAATTTCAAAACAAGAATTTTTTGATGTGGGATTATTAATAAAATAAGAATTATTTTTTTTTTTGAAAAAGAATAAATATTTGAAAAAGACTTGATTTTCAAATATCACAAAAATTTAATTTCCTGTAAATTAGATGTTTTGCAAAAAAGTATCAATGAAATAAATGGAATTGCAATTGAGATATAATGGAAAAAAGATTTTAAATAGAGATAAAATAATAATTTAATTATAAAGCATTTTTTTTTTACTCTTAAGTTTTCAAATTAATTATTACATCAGGAAAATTTTTGGTGTAAATTTTTGTCATATTATATTACATAAATTTTCATAAATTTTTGTATAAATTTACAAAAAAAAAGTAATTTTTTTTTTTTGATTTCATTTACAATTTACTTAACAGGAAAAAATTTTTAATAAGGTGTTTCTAAAATAAATTGAAAGTCCTAATTCCTAACTACAAGATAATATGTGATCCATTCCTGTAACATTAATATTCATGTTTAAATTCATCTTGACAAAATTTTTTTGTAAATTTTTTGTTAAGACTTTTCACAAATATCCAGATTTAAATTTGATACAACAGGAATAGTTGTTCAACAAGGCTTTAACATGCTGAGGACAAGTTTACTTGTCAGACAGTAGGTTGTAAGCATGTCTTATATGAATTAATTTGGATTTTATCTTTTCAAGTATTAGAATAAGTTGTGCATTTTGTATTATGAAATTAATATAAAAAGGTTTTTTTTTTTTTTTTAATCAATAAATTTGAAACAAGGTCTCATTGAAACAAAAAAAAAAAATCTTGATACTACACCAGAATTTTTAATCTATTTAAAAATACCTTAATAAAAAATCTTTTTCTGTTATATAAATTATAGTAAAATCAAAAAAATAGATTTTTTTTTGTAAATTTGTATAAAATTTATGAAAATTTATATATATAACATAATATACCAAAAATTTATGTTCCAAAATTTTTTTGATATTAAGTAAAATTTATAGATATGTATAATATTCTATTTGAAGAAATTAAATTCAATTTAATACTATACTGAATAGTAATTCCTATATTATAAATTAGCTAAAAATCATTAAAAATCAACTATTCTATTATATCCTATATTACAAATCAACTAAAATCAGGATTCCTTTTTGGTATAACAACCTTTTATATTTGACCTGTGTAATTTATACTTGTATGCAATAGTCTATTATAGTAAGTTGAAATATCAAAAATCAAAACAGTTTTTTATAAAAAACAAAATTATTTTACTTAAAATCTAAAATTTTTTTAAATTGAAATATATTAAACTAGATATTTTTTTTTTATTTTCAAATATAAAATAGATATTTCAAAAATCTCAAAAAGACAAAATATCTCAAAAATTAGAAATTAATTTTAGAAACATATATAATCTAATTATGCTTGCAAGTTTCTATCAATGTTGAAAAAAATCTCTGTTATATACTTTATTATACATGTTGTCAAAATTATTAAATTAAATCAGACACAATTAAAAATTGAAAATTGAGTCAAATAAAATTTTCAACTTTACTAGTAACTAATATAATTAAAAATTGAAAAATTGGAATTGAGTTAATGGGTTTTGAATTTAGACAACATATAAAATATACATGTCATCAAAAATAAAAAGCTTTTGACTCAATTCTAATTTTTTAATTTTTAATTATATCTAACTCAATAATTATATCAATTTACAATATGAAAATTAAAATTTTACTTGACTTCAATTTCATTTTTTCAATTTTTAATTATATTTAACTCAATTCAATAATTTTGATAACATGTATACTTCATTAGGTAAAATTGAAACTTGACTTGAGAAAGAAAACCAGAAAAAAAAAATTCTATTATTAATAGTAATATAGAAATAATAATCTTTCAAATAACATTACCTTAAGGATATACCAGAAATCATCTGATATTTATTTACTATAGGGTTAACTCCCACTTTTCAATAATCATTATTAGGAATATTATAATTTTTGTAATTTAAAGCCTATTAGATTCCTCTCATTGAGATAAACATTTTAATAGTTGTTTCATCAAAACTGGACTTCTCTACACAAAGTTAATTAAATATTTATTAATAGGTATTGTAATTTTTCATGTTATATGGAGTATTTTTACTAATTTGTAATTTAATTTTTGCAATTCACAGCTCATTAGATTTCTCTCATTGAGAAGAACATTTTGATATAAAGTGACCTCAATAACTTGTGATCAGATTTTTATAATCTATAACTTATTAGATTTTCCTTATTGATTTTGGTGTTGTTTCATCAAATTGAACTTTCCTATACAAAGTTAATGTTTCATCATTAGATATTCATCAGTAAATAAAATTCTATTATAATTTTTCATGTTATATGGATTGTTTTCACTATACCATGATCCAATTTTTGCAATTTATAACTCATTAGATTCCCCTCATCAAGGTGAACATTTTGGTTGTTGTTTCATAAAAATTAGAACTCTATGCAAAGTTAACATTTCATCATTAGATATTCAGTAGTAGATAAAATTCTATATATATGAACAAAATTAAACACGATTTTATATGATATAATGGCCACCAGGGCTATGTGGTAAAAATAAAATACAGTATAAATTAAAAATCTATAATATATTCATGAATTTTCTAACTTTGTCGTCATGAAGAAATAATAAAATAATTGAAAGGTAATCTCTAAATAGATTAATTATTGCAAGGTTCGGCAGTGGCATCGCGTTTGAGCCTGTCCAATAAACGATCTTCATTTGCTAAGACAAGAGACAAGAGGCAAGAAAGACAAGAGAACAACGAGTTTTGAATTCATCTTAAACTGTTTTTTTGGTTATTTTTGAGCGGAGGTTTATATAACCTTTGGCACTTTATAGTTAAGGCTTAATTAATGAACTTTAGTGACTATGAAAATTGTTCTACTTTATTGTCAATAAGCCGTTACTTTTATTCATTGCTGATAAGACATTCCTTTGTTCATTGTATAATGAGTAAATTTCATCTCTCCGAGGTATATCTTTGCTTAGCATCCTAGAATTACATATTGAAATAATAAAAATTTAATGTGGCTACTTTTCTCTTATTATTATTATTCCTATGATCATTATAAACATGCTAAGCATCTTAAAAAATTTTTTTGTTTATAGACTTAAAAAAATTCAATTTAATGAGACGCGATAATTAATGATCGTTCATATTGTAAGCAAATATAAAATATACAAGGCGTTTTCTGTGGGTATCGATATTCCCGTTTGTCGGCAGATTGTACGCGTTAAGTAATCCATTAATAACGTAACATTAGCGAGAGCATTTTAAATGTTGTCATATAGTCTTGTGGAAAGCTAGCTTAATAAAGGCTCAACAATGCGTTTGTTGTTACTCAAAAATAAAAGAAAGAATTAAAAGAATAATAAGATAAAAGTATTTAGGCGTGATGTGATGCTGAACAAAAACTTCTTTAACATTTTTATCAAAAAATAATATTACATAATTAGTTGTAATTGTTGTTGTGCAATGTTTATTACAGGAAGATTAACGTTTGGCTGTTGTGCCATTATGAGAGAGGTATATTATAATATTATGAGAAGTTATGTTAATCATTTTTTTGACCCCACATTAATTGAATAATATATAATCTCAATTCTCATAATATTTATAATATATAATAATCAGTGGCGATATCGAGGTTAGTTTATATAATCATTGGTATAATAATAAGCTTTGTCGATTTTCTCATACGAATGCATATGTCACGCGATAAACTTACAAATGTATTAAATATATATTATGATGGTGAAATTTTTTGAGAAAATATAATTCGACCTTGTGTAATTTCTTTATAAGGTGTTCTGTCTAGAGATTGTAATTCATGTCTAACATAATTTACCAAACTTGCTATGCTACGTGCGGAACCTTCTGTAACCAACACATTTCTACATATATTGATTTTAATATAGATTAATTGATAGATTAAATGATATATTAGATATATTAGATAAATAATAGATTAGATAAATAATATATTAAATAACAATGGATTAAATAATTTAAATAATATATAGATTAAATAGTAGATTATGTACCTCCATAGTGCTGCTGCCAATACTGGATCGTTTTTGCATAATCCTTCATCATATGATATAACTCCACCATGAAATTGGGCAAGATAATCTTTTAAATATTGGGTAATGATTCTACCTGATGTGATCTAACACAAAAATTTTAATATAATAAAAAGTAAAGATAAATTCATAAAGTATTTTTAAAAAGACATTATCATAATTTTTTTTTTTTTAAAAAAAATGAAAATGTTAAACGTACACCATGTATTTCTCTCATCCTCCATTCCGCATCATCAAATAAATGATTTACTAATTGTTGCATATAAACTTTTCCATCCTTTTCGGCTCTAAACCTGACCATCAACATCCAAACATGTAATAACGTTATTGAAAACCAGGTTTGAAAACTATCCGGTAATTTACATCCTAAAATGTATAACAAATATTACGAGCATTATTAATATTATCGAGATTATTAATATTACCGATATTATTAATATCAATATAAATTTCTTTACCATCAATGTAAAATTCTCGATTTGCTTCTAATTGCCTAGCACATAATTGATACATTGCTCTTGTTACTCCGAGAGCTTGTATTGGTAAATCATAATATCCAAATAATCTAGCAACTCGAATAGCTATTTTCTGAAGAAAAGGTGATAATTTTGGTGGTGGTGATGTACTCCGAGGAGTTTGAAAGGTATCCACATAAAATGGATTGGATTCATTATAAATTCTTTCATTTTCATTCTCTTTATTATCTGTTGAAGTCACCATTTTGGGTGTTGTTCCCTTTGTTGTTGAGAAGAACTTCGGAAAAAAAATAAATAATATCATTAAATATCATTAATATCATTAATATTTTGATAAAATAATATCAAAACATTTAAAAGTTATATATATATATGAGATAAGTTCATATTATATTTACCCGGAAAATGTACCTATTAGGAGCTTGAGTAAATAGTATTTTCTCATTTCTTTTTATAAACCGAAACTCGGAATTGCAAATACAAATTCTAGGTAAATACTTTATTATCGTCTAAGTTATCAGGAATTTTGAAACATATTGAGATTGAATGGACCATAAAAACAACTCAAATAAAAAATATTTGTGAATATTTTAATAAAACGAACATTTGGTACGAATTTCTTTAACGTATATAATGTATTTGCTGTCATTTCTGTCATAAAAAAAATCATTTACGTTTTTATCAATCTATTTAAAATTAAAAAATTTGATTGGTCCAGCTGTATCAGCCGATGACCTATCATTATAAGTGGAAACGTCATTTTTTTTTTTTCGGTAAAGTTCAATTTTCCCACCGGCATTTTCTCTTTTTAATATACAAAGATGTCAGAATCATTTGATAATGAAATTGAAGATCACGTCCAAGAGGACAATTTCCAAGATAATGATGTACCTGATGAAGAGAACCAAGAGGAGGGAGAAGCTATAATACCCATGGATTCCTCGGAGGAGGAAGAAGAAACTGACGAAGAAGCAGCCAAAGAGGTAGCTGCCGGAACAAATGGATCTTCGGCCCAACTTTAAATTTGAAGCTGACAAGTACAAAATCCTATACATATTTAGGTCGCAAGAGGCTTTATCGTTGACGATGAGGAGGAGGACGAGGAGGAGAGGTCTCCGCCTCCGAAAAAAAAGAAGCAAAAGAAAAGAAAGAGGGAGAAGAGCCTAGATTGTAATAAACTTTTTTTTTCCTTAATTTCATTTCTTTTTAACAACAAAACTAACTTCATCTTTCAAACAGTAGACGACGAAGACGAAGTTTCAGATGACGACCTTGATCTGTTGGAGGAAAATACTGGCATAAAAATTGCCAGAAGTGAGGTAAATTCCGCGATTAAACAATCTAAAACACTTTTTAAAGGTTATTTAATGTTACTTTATGATTCATTAATTTAATTTAATTTAATTTAATTCGTTAAATTCGTATTTTAGCCAAAATTTAAGCGTCTAAAAAGAGGTCGTCATCAAGAACATAAACATGACGTATCCCGAATATTTGATGAGGACGAGATAATGGAGGACCAATTTGGGAATGAGTCGGACTTCGTCGTCGACGATTATGAATATGAAGTTGATGATATTGACCAGGGGGAAAGGACTCAACGATATACCACTAATAAATCATATTTTACCAAGGAGATGACACCGTATGTTATAATTTTAATTTCTATTTTGATTCATTGATGATAATTTTAATTATAATTATAACTTTAATCTCAAATTAGACAACAAAGAACGTGGGTCGAAGTATTTGAAGATTTGGAGGGAAAATATGCCTATGCCTTCGATATTGTAAGTAAGAAAATATGATCTAAATTCGGAAAAATTTGATTATATATTAATATTAAAAATTTGTAAATATAGGAGGAACCAGATGAACTTGAATTTGCTGAAGGAATAGAAGCTATTTTAGATCCAAGTGCGCTAAAACAAATGAGAATGACGGAAGAGGACAAAATTATTAAAACCAAAGATATACCAGAAAGATTTCAAGTGAGTTGATTTATAAAAAAAAAAATAGATGTAGTAAAATTAATGTTAACTATTTAATTTAATTTAATTTATTTATAGCTTCGACCTGATATTGTTGCTGAAAGAAAATTGACCGATGAGGAAGTCGAAGAAGCCGCCAGAATTATTTTCGATAATTTTGCAGAATATGATGGTCGTCGTAAATCCACACCATTATTTATTGCTATTAAAAGAGTCATAAAATGTCTTGGACAGGAGTTCTTGGAGGTGCTTAATTTTCTTTCTTATATACTATTTTTTATCTCATTTTTCTTACACGTGTTTTTTTATTAGGTTCCATATATTTATGCATATAGACGCGATTACCTTGCAGAATTCCATAAGGATTCCTCGGTATCGCATGAAATCCTTAATCGCTCTAATTTGTGGCATATTTACGATTTGGAGTACAGATATAGATTATTTATAGAAAAACGAGAGGCAATACAAGGAATGATTTCCAAATATCAAATAGATGTTGATAATGAATACATATTAAATCTTCTCGAATCCGCCTCAAGTGAAGAAGCACTTTCAGATCTACATGACTATATCCATCATAAATATTCAAGGAGGATAGCATCATCATCAGAAGTCTCTAATACACCTCGTCGCCTAAAAAAAGCATCATTTTATGAGGAATGCTTGAATCGAGGGATTGACAGATTAGTAAGTAGTTTATTTGTTTACAATTCTTAAAGATTATATTAAATTATATTAGATTATATTAGATTATATTAGATTATTTATATTGATTATAATTTTTAATTACATAGAATATGGGTATTGATGTGGAATCGTTTGCTAAAAGTCTTATTGAGGATAATCCGAAAATTTATCATCTTACTGAACCTGAGGTTGACCCTTCGATTGCTGAGCAGTATTTTAAATCTAATCCCAGACTCGCTTTAGCAGGTAGTAATTCTTTTTTTTTTTATTCAAAAATTTATCAATTGCATTTAATAATCGCATTTAATAATACTATTCTTAGATGCAACCAAAATGCTTGCTATGGATATTGCATTTGATCCATTATTCAGGAAATATGTTCGCCAGAATTTCATCAGAAACAGCGTGATTTTAGTAAATCCTGTACAAAGTATTAGTGAATCCGATCCATCATGGGTAAGAAATTATAATAAAGTAATATTATGTATATTTAAATCACGATATTTCTTATTTATTTATATACAATCTTTATTCAATTTATTAGCCATTCCGATTTTTAAGAAAGCATATTAGTAAATTTAGAAAGAGTGGGTTATTCGCTGAAATAATGGCAGCAGAGCTGAAAGGTCAAATTAAAGTCAAGGTTGTTTTAGAAAATGAACAAAGATTTCTTGAATCCTTGAAAAAACGAATCATAAATAATGCCGATGAATCAGAAAGTCCATGGCACAAATATCGCATTGACGTCATTCAACATTCATTTAATAATGTATTACACCCTGTAATGAATCGCTGGATTAAGTCACGCCTTACTAAAGATGCAGAACAATGGATCATGGCGAAGACTATGGAAAACTTTGAAGATGTAAATAGTTTAATCATTTTTCATTATTAATAATTTTTCAATACTTTTTGATAACGATTTACTCAAATTTTATTATTTTCACCTAGAAATTGTATGTCCGTCCTTTTAAATCTGCTAGAATGAGTGCTGACGAAATTCCACGAGTTGCAGCTTTATCATGGGGTCCTGGAGGTCATCGTAAAACTGAATGCGTTTTCCTTGATGATACTGGAAGACTTGTTGATCATATAAGCTTTACCAACTTAAGAGAAAGAGATATGAAAGAATATCATGATTTCGTTCAATTCATTCGTGAAAATAAACCTCAAGCTATTGTAGTACGATGTTACGATGGACGAACCAAGTATTTATTAGAAACCGTACAAGAGGCTGTTGAATATTATAGCAAGCGAGGTGGTGAAGAAATTCCTGTTATGGCAATTAATGATGAAGTAGCTAAATTATATATGTTGTCTCCAAGAGCAAAAAGAGAATTTCCTGATTATGACGAAGTAGCAAGATATTGTATATCTTTGGCTCGAATGTTACAAAATCCAATTGGCGAATATGCTGCTATTGAAGAAAAAGTAGCATCAATTACGCATCATCCATTACAGAACTTTGTAATTATTTTATTTTATTTTTTTTAATTATATTTATAATTCTGTATTCTTTTTTTTTTTTTAAATTCCTTTTAATCTAATCTTTTTTCCTAAAATCTTATCCCTCTTTTTCAAGTTACCTCGTGAAAAACTTATTGAATGTTTACAACGAGGGTTCATAAATGTTATTACCGATATTGGTGTCAGTATTAATGAAGTTCTACATACAAGGAATAAAATGGATCTTCTTCAATATGTAAGTGGATTAGGCCCGCGTAAAGCTGAAGTTTTAATTAAAAGCATAGTTGCCGACGTAAGTTATTTGTATTTTCTCATTATTGTAAGTTATAATTTTATTGGTTTTACTTATTTATTAATCATTCTTCTTTTAAATCTTTAGGGAATTATGGAATTAGAAAGACGTGATGATTTAATAAAAAATGGGATAGTAGGAAAAGTAGTTTACACAAATTGTGCCGGTTTTATTCGAGTTCGTCCTAAACGACCCGGTTCTTTTGATGATACCAGAATTCATCCAACATATTATATTTTGGCACGTAAAATGGTTTGCGATGCACTTGATTTGGATGATGAGGAAGCCGAAGAAGAGATGTACAGTAATCGCCGTGTTGATATTCTTAAACGACTGATGGCTGAGCCCGAAAAACTTAATGATCTTATCTTGGATGATTATGCAAAAAGTCTTTCAAAATATTACGAATCTCCATCAAATCTTATTTTACATAATATAAAGACAGAACTGATTAGACCTTTTGCCGATCCGCGCCGAAATTTTGAAATACCAACTACTGATCAAGTATTTGAAATGGAAACGGGTGAAAATGATGAATCTTTATTCCCGGGACAAATTGTGGCTGTACAAATAATGCGTGTTGATGATAAAATTTTAAAATGTCGACTTACTGAACATCAAATAGATGGTGTTATTACTATCGGTAACATTGCTGACTATAGAATTACACCTCAAGATGTTCGATCCCAATTTTCAGTTGATCAACCATTAAAGGCGAAAATTTTATCGATTGATAAGCAAAGATTTTCTGCAAATCTTACCATTCGTCCAAGAGACCTAAATAATAACAGAAATTTTCAACCTAAACGTAAAAAACTTGATGATGATTTCGATTATGAAGCTGAAGCTGAAGCAATACAGGCATCAAAGAAAGGTAAAATTTTTGATTATTAAAAAAGAAAATTCTAATTGTAAAAAAAAAAACAACGGGATTGAAATTTTTATTTTTTATCCAGCTATTCCCGTTCACATTCCTGCTCCAAGTCCGATTAGAATAATTCCTCATCCAATGTTTCATCAAATGACTTACTCGGAAGCGGTCCAATATCTTAAAGATAAAAGTAACGGATCTTATGTTGTTAGACCATCATCAAAAGGTTTCGGTTATATAGCAATAACTTGGAAATTATTTGAAAATATATATCAACATGTTGGTAAGTAGTTACTCGTGAGATTTTTTTATTTAGATTTTTTACTTGACAATATATTTTTATTTATAAGATTTTTTTTTTTTACTTTTGTTTTAATATTAGATATTGTTGAAAAAGACAAAGCAGGAGTTTCAGTTGGTCGCAGATTGGAAGTTGAAGGTGGTAAATACATATATTCAGACTTGGACGAACTTATTGTGGAATACGTGGAACAAAAAGCGAGAAGAGCAGAAGATCTAATTGCTCATGCGAAATTTAAATCATCGGAAGAAAATCTAAGTAAGTTGATTTTGCCAAAGGGTTTTTTTTTTTTTATTTATAATAAAATTTAATTATTTAATAATTATTTTATTGTATATCCTATTATTATATATATTTTAGGGAGATTCATTGACATTAGTTTGGAAATGAATCCAAATCATTCCTCATATGGATTTTGCTTTGATCATGAAATGCCGGGTGGATTCTTTCTCATGTTTAAAGTGAATCAATTTTCGAATATTGAAAATTGGAAAGGATATGTTAAGCCGGAGGGATATAAATTTAAAGGAGAATTGTATCCAACAATAATTGATATGGTGAATGGGTTTAAGAAATTAGTTATTGGAACTACTAAAAAGTAATTGGGTTTTATGGGTGATTATTATCTGAGTTAATTTAATTTTTTTTTAATTTTATTTTGCTTGATTGAATAAATTGAATAGATTATATTGAAAATTAGAATAATAAAAAACTTGATCCAAAATCATAATTTTTTTAACTAGCAAATTCCCAATAGAGGTTTTTTATCTAACCAATAGAAAAGAGTGTTTATCTCATAGTACTTATCCCACCACTGTGATATAACATTGTGATTTTTGGTAACGAAATATTGATTTTGATTGCGGATCTCTGCAACGTATTCTGAATACATATAACTCTTAGATCAATTTATTTATTTTATTGTTACTTCTTACGATATACAATTAATTTCCTAAAACAAATCCTCACGATCCATATATGTCTACTTCTGTAAACACACGACTGGCATTTGGCATTTGGATGTTCTAAACCTACGTCAGTTATAACTTTGTTTACAGAAAGGAAGAGTAAATTTAAGATACCAAAGTTTATGAAGTCCATCTTAAAGACGAGAAAGGTTTCGTCATTGTTAAAAATTCCATAGTTATTAAATGACCCGCCAGAGACACTAAATCATACTACGCCTGAAATTTCCAGTTCACCCGAAACAATTGAGACTATCAGGACAAGCACAAAAGTTTCTGGATAAAGCTGAAATTTTCTGAATAACGTACTTTTAATATTGTTCTTAACTAATGCCTTTGTAGATTGTGTGGGTGCAAACTTCAAGTGGCCTAATTCAACGAATGATCTTAACAAAGAAACTGCTTTCCTTTATATAGCAGATGATAGTGCTTTAGAATTCGATGATGAAACAGGGGTTTAACCTGATCTTCTTTGATAATCTAGATAAAGGAACATTCAATAAATATATGGATAAATGGGTTTTGATATATAAACGAGAAGTAATAAAATATGGGCCAAAATATACAGGCCGGGTTCGGTATACTTACCAGCGCCGTGAAGATCTTATAAAATCAGCAGTACGTGCTTTGCGTGCCCGAATATGAACATATGGTCTGCAGTTAAAATATTGTCAATCAATGCAAATATGTATAAATATGCTTTAGTTATATCTTTTAATAAAGGTTGAGGTTCAAGTTAGAATGTTGGGGACAACTGAATCTGTTATAATTAATTATAATTTTCGTGATCCTGTCGAGAAAAATAAATTATATAAATCTATCATTGATTCAGGAGCAGCAGAGACTGCTCTTCCCTACTATGTCCGTAGCGTACTTGGAAAAAAAGGGGTTTTCCCTTCTCTGGTTTTGCCAAAGGATATGGAGAACCTTCTCATGTTTTTTTTTGCATCAACGACATACGAGATTTCAATTGGCGATGACAAGAATTGGAGTAAATGAGTGAGCTTAGAATTTGGAAAAGGGATCTCGGTCCACATATAGATAGTTCACGTACTAAATTAATTTTTCTTTGTACATCAGCCAAACCAAAGGTATAAGTTTATAAATGCTGCAGACGAAAATGCTTTAACTAATTTTATTAACCTTTTTCCTTAATATACTTAAGAAACTTTGCATCAAATTAATTTTAGTATAATATTGGGAAGTGCATTGTTATAGTAAACGAAATATTAGTAAAGGGTTCATAGTCGTAGTGCCAAAGTAAATGATGTGGAATGGAATAGTTAAACAACTTATGATCATACATATATAATGGAATTGATAATTTTTTTGAAAAAGCTTCGAAAATTTGCAACTGATCCCAAAAGAAAAGTTCAATTATGTTAGCTTAATACAAAGAAAGTGTTTTATCAAATCGAATCACTATTGTCTTGCAGAGATTATTTTTTAAAGAATTTTATATAATTTATTATAAATTTTATAATTAAAAATCATTTTTCTATCATATTAAATTTTTTATCTTTAAAAAAAACATTTTTTTTTATTCTTTTTCATTAAATAAATATTATTATAATTATGTAAAAATAAATTATATATTAGTGATCCTGTACTTACAAAAGTAATATAAACAGTTTTATATGTAACAATTGTTATTTTAAATTTTTTCATCCGTTCGAATATTGTAATATTTTTCTCAATTTAATATCTTTAAGGTTACTTAGTACTGTTTTAATATTTACTTATTAAAATAAAAGTTTTATATATAATAACCATTGAATAAATATTGGAGAATATCTATTTATTCAGAAAAAATTATCCGTATACCAAAGTATCTATTCGAATAGATCTTGAACACTATTTACAAATTTTCTATCTATTTGCATATTGCCCTACCTACAGTATTTGCATTAAAAATTTTTATCTATTTTTTTTTTATTCGACCAGTATATATAAATTAAACTCAAGACTACATAATCAAAAATTCAAAATTAAAGTTTAAAATTACATAATATATATTTTGGATTAAAGATTGGAGATTGTGTTAATTAAAACTTAAGATCACTTTAAATAAAATTCAAGACTATATAGTTAAACTTAAATAAAACTTATAACTAAAGATACTTGTTATAATTAAATAAACAAATTTATATAATTTATTTTCACTAATAAAATTATGAAAATTGTGATCAATTATAAAATTTTATTAAAAAATGCAAATAAAAGATAAATACATATTTACATTGATTAATTTCCAAACTATATTATTTTCTTTCTGATGCAGATCTTCACAACACTTTTTATCTATTGGTAACCTGGCATTTTATCTTCAAGATTTACTAATTCTTTACCTGTATATTTTGACTCATATTTTATTATATATCAACACCCAACTATCCTCATTAAATGTATCTTTGTCTATATTATCAAAGAAGAAGATCATATTAAATCCTGTTTCATCATCAAATTCTAAAGCACTATCATCTGCTATATAAAAGAAAGCAGTTTCTCTGTCAAGATCATTCATTGAATTAGGCCACTTGAAGTTTGGACCTATACAATCTACAAAGATATTAATTAAGAACAATATTAAAAGTACTGCCATATGTATTGCTTGTATATTATTTAGAAATTTCAGCTTTATCCAGAAACTTTTATGCTTGTCCTGATAATCTTTCATATTTATGAAAGTATTCATTTGTTTCTGTTAATTAGAAATTTCAGGTGTAGTAGAATTTAATATTTCAGATAGGTCAGATACTGTATTATTAAATACTTATTGAGAATTAAATCATATATTTAATAACTATGGAATGAATTTTTAACAATAAAAAAAATTCAACTTTTTTTTTAATCTTTAAGATGGACTCCATAAGCTTAGGTATCTTTAAGATAGACTTCAAAAACTTAGATATTCTAAATTTATTCTTCTTTTCTGTAAATAAAGTTATAATTGAAAAAAATAAATATAGTTTAAATTTTCAAATGTAATTGTATATATTTACCTTTCTCTTTGTTTATAGAAATAGACATATATAATTGTAAATAAAGTTCAAATGATTGTGAGCCCAATGAGTTGAGCTAAGTCGAGTCTATTTTGCTAAAATTAATGTTTTTAAAAAATATCACCTGGATATTCTTGCGATATTTTTTTAATATCACCAAGATATCCTGGTGATGATATTACCATAGTTATAAGATTTTCAATATTATTTTTTTTTAAAAAAATTAATAAAATTTTTTATCCTCACAGTATATAATTTGATATTTTTTTCAATATCTTTTTTATTTTAATAATTAATAAAAAATAGTTATCGCTAGAATATAATTTTGATATGTCAAAAATATAAATTTATATTTATCAAATTAATATTCCTAGATTTTTTATCACAGGATCATGTTTTTGATATATCGAAAATAATATTTATCAAATTAATATCTCTAAAATATTTTATTGATCATATTTTTTATCGCAAAATCATATTTTCGATATATCAAAAATATCAAATTATCTATCAAATTAATATCCTTAGAATATTTTATTGATCACATTTTTTATCACGAAATTATGTTTTCGATATATCAAAAATATAAAATTATATATATCGAATTGATATTCCTAGAATATTTTATTGATCACATTTTTTATCACAGAGTTATATTTTCGATATTTCAAAAATGGATTATTTTATTAATCACATTTTTTATCACGAAGTCATGTTTTCAATATGACAAAAATATAAATTTATATTTATCGATTATCTTGTTTTAACCAATCATGAAAAAACTGAACTGATGCCAATTAATACTAGCTATTGTTTATCATTTTGTAAAGACAATAACAAGTAGGTATTTTATGTTGTTAAATATTAAGTCTGAATTAGAGAATTTTAAAAGTCAATTCCACTGTAATTTTTTTTATTTGTTCTGAATTCTTCCATATATCATTTGGAGATTTTACCCTCAAATTTTTTTAATTATTTGATTATATCTTTGGTAAATTTCAAGAATACTTGTAAATAAGAGATGATTTATATCCAGAATCTGTTATACAATTTTCTAAGAAAATCCTGTCTCATATAAAGAATTGATTAAAAATTTCTATGGGAGTAAATAAAATGTCATTTGAAAGTTGTTGAATAATTTTATAAGAATCATATCTTTTTTAATGATTAATTTATGATATAATTATTTCCACTATATAAAAATTCAACCTTGACAAGATGATAAGATCTGTCATTATCCATGTTCAATTTTACATAAATATTATCTTTTATTATCTCTATAGAAAAAAAAAGCTCGCTCAGAGTTCAAACGTCATTACGTGGGTTTATAGTTTCGCCAAATAAATCACATTGATAAAATTAGATTAATTAATAGAGGTATCAAAAAGTTATAATTATTAAGATTTTCCTTATCATTTAATTTTCCAACAAAAACGGGAATATGGCCCATAATGCAAATTATTAACAAGTGAACAGTTATCTCAGATTCTTCGATTAGTCAGATTCTTCGATTAAAAAATTTATCATTGATTTAAGCCACATGCTACAGATCTTATCTTTATCACCAATTAAACGATACATACTTTTTCCAGAAAAGTCGAATATTTCACATGATTAACCAATCCATATAAAAGACATAAAAGATATAAAAGACGATATCAAAGATACCAAAGATACCAAAGATACAGAAGGTACGAAAGATATAAAAAGGTATAAAAGATACAAAAGATATAAAAGGTATAAAAGATTCTTATGTTCCAATGAAGCGCGGAGGAACAATTAATATTGATAAAATCAATACACGAATTCCTTCAAAGTAAGAAATTTATTTGTTTGTTTGAATTCATATTTTTCTCTTTTCTTAATATTCTCTCTCAATGATATATATATATATATATATGTATATAAATATATATTTATAGATATAAATAGATGTACTTAACACTTTAAAATTTTTATTAATTTTTTTTTTTTTTTAAAATATAAGTATACCCTTTCATTTCGTTACACTACTTGGGTTTTCAAAGATAATATTCACATTTTCAACTCATATTATACGTGAATGGTTTCTTCTGACTGGAGCACCTGCGTCAGTAGTTGTATTTGGAATATTGGGAGGTGCAGGGATAATATTGTTTACTTGGCAAAATTTTTTAGGTAACCGTCGAACACTAGTGAGTATGAAGGTAAGAAGAAGAAGAAGAAGAATGAGGATAAATAATAATAATTAAATTTTATTAATATAAAATTTTTTATTTATTCATTTAGTGGCCGAGAATTGTATTGTATACATTAATTTTTACGGCACAGATTTATTTTTTGATTATTGGATTATCGAGATTAAATCTTACAAGGTAACCACAAATCAACAATAATAAATCAATAACAAATCAACCATAATAAATCAATAATAATAATCTTAAAAAATAATTTTAAAAATCATAATTATAAATAAAGGACATTAATGTTAACACAATATGCCGACATATGGAGTATGTCATTTATTGCATATTTTATTGGAAAAAAAAATTCCACCTCGATGGTATGTTAATAAAATGGTACGTTTTCATATTGAAAATATTATTTCTTTTTTTATAATATATTTATTTTTATATTATTTCTTTAGAATCGAGGTGTAAATTATATAATTTCGACTATAATTCTATCCTTCATGGTAGATTGTACATATATTCTAAGTATTTATCTTCTTTTTTATTTATTTATTTTTATTTATATTTATTTTAAGATGTCATTATTTTAATATTTAAATATTTTAGTCAATTTATAAATTTTAAATTTTATGAATTTTTTTTTTTTTTTTAATAGTAAAAACAACAACTTCTACATTAACAACATCAAAATTAACAACTCCGACAACATTAACAACAATATCAACAATATTACCTTTAAATTCTACTATAATAACGATTAAGACAAAAGATTTAGTAGATTCATTTGAGAATAATTCTATTAGTAATTTAATCATTGGATATATTTTTATTTTTTTCTCAATTTGTTTATCTGGATATAAACGAACATTGGGAAAAAAGTTGGCTATAGAAGTTGGTGGAAATCGTAATTTATTTGCAATTGCTGTTCCTCTTGGAGCTGTTTTAATATCACCTTTGGCATTTGTTCATTATCTTATGGTAAATTATTATTATTATTATTATTATTATTATTATTATTATGTAATTTTATGAAAGTCACATTCAATGAGAATTACTAATGTATAATTTATATTAACATATTTATAATAATATATTATAGTACGCCAAGAGTTATATAGAAAATATTAATTACACAATTATAATATTTACTAGTTTAGGAATTGGTTTATTAATTCTAGATTATTTTGTTAGTCATTCAATCAGTATCAATTCATCAACAATATCACATGTATTAAATGGATGGCCAATATCAATTGGAAGTAGTATTTCATGGAGTTTTCTTTTGTTTTATGGAGAATTTTCAATATTAGATATTTTATTTTGTGGTTTAATGTATAAAGGAATTTATAATGTTTTAATATCTGATAAACAATTTATTAATGATACACAATTCCCTTCACCGGGAATTAGTGGTGGTAGAGGATTTGAACTTCCACTTCATGGTAGTAGTCATAAAAGTCATAAAAGAACTTCTTCTTCTACCGTTAGAGGAGGAATAGGGGAAGGAGGAGGAGGAGGATCGGGAACACTTGAATCTATTGGATTTTATATAAAAACGATTCTCGATAATAGAGATTCCAGACAAATATTTGGTTTTCTATTATTAAATTTAAGTTATATGTTTGTTCAAATGATTTATGGAATTTGGAATAATAGTTTGGGTTTGATTTCGGATGGTAAGGTGGTGGTATGTTTAAAAGAAAGAAATACCCAAAAAATACAAAGTTATCGCAAGTTATCAATTATTTATATGTTTCAATAATAATAATATTTTTTTTTTGTTTTATTAAAAAAAAATATTGTAGCTATTCATATGTTCTTTGATTGTTTAGCATTATCAATTGGGATAGTTGCTGCTATAATAAGTAAATGGCCAGAAAATAAAAAATTTACATATGGGTAAATATTTAATAATATTAATAATAATTTTTAATAATAATTTTAATAATAATTTTTAATAATAATTTTAATAATGATTTTTAATAATAATTTTAATAATGGTTTTTAAAAATAATTTAATAATAGTTATGGACGTATCGAAACACTTTCAGGATTCGTTAATGGAATATTTCTCATTCTTGTATCAATATTTATTGTATTTGAAGCTATTGGTCGATTAATTGAACCACCAGAAATGAATACTGATAGATTATTATTAGTAAGTTCTTTAGGACTTGCAGTTAATTTAATTGGTGTATTTGTATTTAATCATGGTCACGGACACTCTCATGGACACTCCCACGGACATTCCCGTAAACACTCCCATGAGCATCATTCCTCTTCCTCTTGTAAACATGGGAATCATGATGGAAATTGTAAAGATTACGGAAATTTACATGATCATCATCATCATCATCATCATCATCATCATGGAGATAATGCCAACATGGAAGGTTAATTTTAATTTTTAATTTTGTTTCCCATAAATATAATTTACATAAATAATTCACATTTTTTTAATTTTTATTTATTTAGGAATCTATTTACACGTATTAGCAGATACATTAGGATCAATTGGAGTTATCATATCAACAATTTTAATTCAACAATTTGGTTGGACGGGTTTTGATCCATTGGCTTCAATATTAATTGCGGTTCTTATATTTATTAGTGTTATACCTTTAATTAAAAATTCTGCATCTATTTTAATGCTTTCCATTAATAATGATGATCTTGAACACAAAATTTTAGAAGGTTTACAAGAGGTAAAGATATTTTATATATTCATTTAATGTACTATTATTTATTAATGTGTGTTATATAATTAATATATATATATATATAATTTAATTTTTAATATTTAGTTATTACATACATCTTATATTAAGTCATATACTATGCCTCGATTTTGGCCTAATGATAAAGAATGTATAATTGGTAGCATTCATATTCAGACAACTAATGATGCTAAAGAACAAGAAATCATTGTAAAAGTTACTAAAATATTAAAACTTCATATTAAGGGTTTAGAAGAATTAACTGTACAAGTTGAAAAATTAGATGAAGGATTTCGTGGATGTTGTTGTAATTTTATTAATCATAATAATAATAATTGCATTAATAATAATAATAATAATAATAATAATAATAATAATAGTAATAATAATAATAATAATAATAATAATAATATTAATAATATTAATAATAAGAATATTAATAATACTAATAATATTAATAATAATAATAATAATGATAATAATAATAGTAATAGTATTAATAATAATAATAATAATAGTAATAGTAATAATAATAGTAATAATAATGTTAATAACAATAATATTAATATTAGTAATAATATTATTGATAATAGTAAGAAGAAGAATGATGATGGTGATGATAATATTATCGATATTATGAAATTTGGAATAGATGTTGTTAGTAATAAAAGAAAAAGTTATTAGATTAGAAATTATTAAAAGCATTTCCCAAAATTATCATGATTGTACGCATCACTTGACAATTGAAAACTTAAATTTGATTTATTTTGAAAAAAAAATAAGAATAATTTTATATTTATTAGATTATTGATTGATTGGATATCTTTTTTCTCTCCAAAAAAGCAAATAATCCTTTTATAAAAAGTTATTATTATTTATTATTATTATTAACTATTTATCAAAAATAGATATATTATTATTATTAAAAGGATAGAAGAATGAAAAAAAGAAAAGAAATCAAAAAAAAAGGGGGGTTAAATGATAATTAAAACTAAATGTGATATGATGAACGAAATAAAATGCGAAAATACGCTAGAGATAGAGAAGACTAACCAATAATTATTAAAATACTAATAATAATAATAATACAATAATATTAAAAAAAAAAAATATCTATACAAATTTGAACTACATTTTTTATTTTTTATTAAGGAAAAGATACAAACTACTCTACAAATAAACAAAAATTAATATAATTCCTTTTTGATTTACATTTCCTTTGTGTAAATGATTGATTCTTGTAAATTATTTCGTTTGTTCGGTTAAAAATTAAATACTAAAGCCATTAAACCTAAAGTAATACCAAAGATCCAAGAATTTTCAATTGTTGTTCCACTATTACTTTTACTTGAAGATGGTGAATTTGAACTATTACTTTGATTAGTCTTAGTAGAAGTAGTTGAAGTAGCAGAAGATGAAGGGGCTTTAGCAGAAGCAGAACCAGAAGTAGAAGTAGTAGCAACAGAGTCATCCACATAAATATATTTTACAGTTTTAGGATTAGTACAAATTTGTGCTGTTACCAATTTACTTTCTTTTCTTATTCCATCCGACATTTCTTCTGAACATTCACATTTTTTTAAAATTTCATTAGTCTTCTTTAATTCCGATAAAATACAAAGGCAATTCACTAAATTAGGGCATTTTTCTTTGTTTCTGGCTAAATCATAATCGGTTTTGCTTTCATATAATTTGATTTCGGATTTGGGAATTTTTTTACATTCCGGAATTTTATTACGTTCTGCTTTCCAACAGGCGGAACATTCATCATCAGAATTCGCATTTACGCCTACTTGATAATTACTACTAACTAAAAGGATAAATGTAATGAAAAAGAGGATAATGAAATTTTTAGAATAATTCATATCTTATTATCGATATTATTATTATAATAAATCTATTATTATTGGTGACTTTTTTAATGTTGGTAAAGTATTATTAAAATGTCGGTCTCGGTTGCGAAAGGATATCAAAATATATATATATATAAAAATTAATGATATATATATGGATGTGTGTGTGAGAGAGAGAAAAGAGAGAGAAAAGAAAGAGAAAAGGAAAAAATGTTAATGGAGAGAAAGAGAGAGGGGAGAGGAAGTAATATGTATATGTATGTACGATAAAAAATGCTTCAATATATAAAATGAAACCTGAGCCTTATTTAAGATTTTGATGGTTACACATATTTGGTATGCAATAGGTACATTAGGTATATTGGTAATATAAAAAAAAAATTTACAATTGTATTAAAAATTTTCAAAAGATTTTTAATTCATTGTATTCCCAAACATTTCACATCTTTTACAATATTCTTCATGCTTTCGAGGACCAATAATTCCAAGTTCATTTGATATGATAAGGTTTATTGCTTGAGATTATAGATTATGACATGAGATTATTTATTGAGATTTATTTATTGTTTGAAATCATTACTCGATTAAATATTTAGGAGTGTAAAAAAAAGAAAAAAAAAAAGATTTCTTTTTTTATTTTTATGCTGTAGAACCATAATTATTATTATTATTATTATTATATTATTATTATTTTTTTTTTATCATTTTAATCATGAATTATTGTTATTATTTATTTATTTATTAAAGATAAAAAAAAATTTTAAAGTAATAAATATACGTGAATAAATAAAATTAACGAAATTATATTTTGGAAGATTGATGTAGTACAGAATTAAACTGTCCCATTTTTAGGAATTTTTAATTTAATTGTTTGATTTACTTAAATTGTTCTATACTGTCAAAAATTGTGTAACATTAACATTAAATTATGCATTAAGGGTTAGGTTCCACATGCATTAATACATGAATCTCTTTGTCCGTGATACATTATTAATTCAAAAGAAAGAGATAAATTACAGATGAATGTATGGATGATGTAGAAGAGATTAATTAATGACGAAAAGGAAAAAAAAACAATGAAAATAAAATACAGTCAACTATAAATGCACCCCTCTGGGATCAGCATTAGCGTGCATTAATGGAGGGAGTGCATTTATAGAGAGAAATTTTTTTTAAGTTCACTATATGTTTGGGATCAAACAAGTTAAGCGTGCATTTAAAGAAAGCGTGCATTTAAAGAGGGCATGCATTTAAAGATGACGTGCATAAAAATTTATAATGTATTTTTTTATTTTAATCGAGATCAAATTTTCTGCTTCGTTTTTTTTCAGATCTTAACATCTTTTCTTTTTTTCTTTTTCCATCTTCTATTCTCTTACTATATGAGATAATATAAAAAATGTATGTATGTATGTATGAGATAATATAAAATGTATGTATGTATGTATGTATGAGATGTAATAAAAAAAATAAATAAACAATAACCATAAAAATAATAGTAATAATTTAATATTAATATTAAATATATATATATTTTTTTGTAATTAAAAATTTTACTCACAGTTTTTCAATTCGTTCTAATGTTTCCTCGTCAGGACCTTTAGGTACTTGGGCAGCTCTTAATATTATATCATATAACTTATCCACACAATCATCTTTATTCTTTACTTGAGATCGTGTTCTATCCGAAGTTATTATTAATTCACTATTTTTATTCATTTTATTGGCTTCCTTTATAAAAAATTGTTATTATTGAATTATTATTATCAATTTATTATTATTAAATTATATATTATTAAATTATATATTATTAATTATATTATTATATTATTATATTATTATTATTATTATTACCAGAATCATAATTTTCTTTCGAGCATATTCAGGTATCCAATATGCTTTTTCTAAATCAAATCTTAAATCTACTTTTGTATTCACTATTTATTATTCATTTTCATAACCAAGTAAAATAATGAAAATAATTTTAGATGATCAGTATTTAATGTATTTAATAATAATATCTCAACCAATAAAGAATCATAAAGTATTTCATAAAACATTTCATAAAAAGCAATTACCTTTATTTACATTTTGTCCACCAGGTCCACTACTTCTAGAATAACCAAAAGTAAATGAATCTATAGTATATTGAAATTTGGATTTTTTATTAAATTGAAATTTTTATTTTTTTTTTTTGACATGTATATTTTCTTGTTAATAAAATCAATAATGAAATAAATATATATATATATTTTTTATATACCAGTTGGAATACTCTCTTTAGTAAATTTTGACAACCATTTCGAAGCTCTTTCAATATCTTGTGGTGTATCTAAACTAGATATCGATCTTTTAAATGAATTATTATTATTTATGAAATTTATGAAATTTATCTGAGGATATTTCTTTATTAATGTTATTGTTGTGTTATTATTATTAATAATAATATTGTTATTATCTATTAATATGTTTTTTGTTAATTTCGTTAATGCTTTCATTATTTCATTATTTCATTAAACTATTATTCAACTCAACTAAACTTCTTTACATCAAAATTAATATAAAAAAAATAAAAGTTTTCACTTTCTTTTTAATCTTTTTTTTTTTTTTTACATGATCTTTGATAATTTTTTTCTGATAATCAGGTGAAACATTCGAAATCGTTTTTTTCCAAGTTTTCGATTTTTCGATTTTTTTCTTTAACCAATATGTCTCAAAAAAGATTCTTTTCTATTATAGATACTCCATATAATACATATAATACCACAATTTTCAATCCTAAATTATTATTTCCTCAACAATCAAAATGTAAATTATCTTTTCCATTTTCATTTTCACCAAAATATTCAAAATATTATAATACAAACACTACTTCCACCCCTTCCACCCCTTTATCTTCCTCCACTCAAATAAAACCAAATTTAAAGTTATTATCACAATTACGTCAAGAGACTCAAGTTAGCATCACTAAAGCAAGAGAAGCATTAATGAAACATAATAATGATTATGATAAAGCATTATCTTGGTTATTAAAAGATTCAAGAATTAGTGGTTTGGAAAAAGCAGAAAAACTTAAATCAAGAATAGCTAAAGAAGGATTGATTGGTGTGGTGGTTACAAAGCTTGATGAAATGATTGGGAAAAATGGTGAAAGATTATTAATTGGAAATAAGGGAGCTATTGTTGAGGTAATAAAAATTTTTTATTTTATTATTATTATTATTATTATTATCATATTTATATTACATATTACAGTATTTATTATCATTTAAATAATTAATATAACTTTATTAACATAATATAATTTATTAAAATTATTAATATAATATAATGTAATTTATTTATAGATAAATTGTGAAACAGATTTTGTTTCTAGAAATAATTTATTTCAAAAATTTGTTACTCAAATAGCTTCAACTTCTTTACTATTATCTTCAGAAACATTAATTCCAAATGTTATTCCAAATTCTATAATTCAATCAATTTCTCCTCAATTGATTTCTTCATTTCCACTATTACCTCACCCTTCATTAGATTTCTCTTCTTCTACTACTACTACTACTACTATTCCATCTTTTGATTCACCTCCCACTTTAAATGAATCACTTTTAGAATTGATTGGTAAATTAGGTGAAAATATTAATTTAAGTAGAATAGAAATATTTAATAACAATAATAATAATTATAGTAGTAGTAGTAATAATAGTAATGATGATAAAATTTTGGTTACAGGTGGATATGTACATGGTGGTATTAATAATGATCAATATACAGGTAAAATTGGTGCATTGGTGGTAATAGAAATACAAAAACAACAAAAAATAAATTATTCTCAAAAAATTATTGATAAAATTAACAAATTATCAAGAGATTTAGCAAGACAAATTGTTGGATTTAATCCTAAAAGAATTCACAAAGACAGCAAGGATAATAATAATAATAATAATAATATTGAAGAAGAATGTGATGATAATGAAATATTAATGAATCAAGAATTTATAATAGGTGGTGGGGTTAATGGTGAGAATGTTGAACAAGTATTGAAAAATTATGAAAAAGATTTTAATTTGAAAATTAATATTTTGGAATTTAAACGTTGGGAATGTGGAAAACTATAATAATGTTATATGTAAAAATGTAAAATGTCAATTATGTAATGAAATAAATAATTTATTAAATATTTTTATTACATTTTTCTTTGAGAAAAAATAATGAAAAAAAAAACCCCCAAAACGGAATATGTACATATATACAATATTACGTTAATTCGTTTTCTACATTTTTGAACGATTGGTCGTAATTCAATATGGCCCATTCTTTTGCTTTATTCATAGCATTCGTTCCATATTCCCACATTTCTTCCATTTGGGGTTTCCTCGTGCTCCACAAAGCAACCCAACAAACTTTTAATAAAAACAAAGAAATTATGCATCCCGAGATTGCCAAATCTCCAAATTTAGAATAAATCGTATGAATTTTTTTAACATCTTTGATGTGTTCATCATCATTATCATAATTTGAAATTAAAATAAGGGGTAAATCAAAACTAAATATATTATTCGCTTCAGATGAAAACTCGACGTGTCGAATTCTACCGAGGGGATCAATTAATCCACTGGCTCCTCCTCCATCACACCGTAAAACCCAGTATCCATTTTCGATGGCTCTAGTGGATGCCATTCTTAGATGCTGTAGTCCGATTCTTGATGACCATGTTTGTGAGGGTTGTAAAAGGATGTCAGCATCAGCTGCCGTACTGAGTAATTCAGGGAAGTCTACATCGAGGCATATCGCACCTGATACATTTATAGACATAGTATCTTTGGAACTTTTGTAATGTAGTTTGATATTTTTTATTGGTAAGTTACCGCCCGGACCACTTTCAGTGGAATACTCCGCGATCGGAACGGGATGCGTTTTTTGATATTCAAATACTTTCTCTCCATCAGGTCCAATTAGTGTTAACATATTTTTTTTTTTAAATCCTTCGGAAATAGTATACGTAAATCCTATGGCAGATTTATTTTTAATGGCAAGAGCAGTTGCATTTTTTAATAATTCTTTTAATTCATTACTATCTCGTAAATCGATTGCGGACTCGGACCAAAGGATTAATTTCGAATTATGCTGGGTTGCTAAAATTTCTGTCAATTTTAACATTTTTTTTATGTTTGAGCCTGGAGGAGGTAGAACACATCCCACAGTTAGGGTTTCAATATTTTTTGAATTATTATTACTATCTTCCAGATATTGTAGACGATGACTTCCAAAAATTATTATTATTATTAATAAAATTAATAAACCCAAACGAAGATACCAATTCTGTAATGATAATTGTTCGGCTTTAATTTTCATTTTATGATCTTGATTATTTTGATTATTTTGATTATTTTGATTATTTAGCAACGGAGTTTCTTCATTAAAATTGATTAATAAGTCCTCGTTTCTGTTACTGCTGTTGTCATTTTCTATTTCTCGTTTTTCAAATTTATTTTTCATATGATAATAAATAAAATAGTCCGTGATTATTTGGGCCATTAAGGCCAGAATAATATTGACAGCACTTAAACCTCCAATACTTGTAATTTGCATTATAGGATCTCCGCTATATCCTGAATTATTTACAGTGTATGCCCAATCTCCCCACGAACCAAGAGGGATATATCTTCGAAATACTGACCAAGTAACGGTCCATAGAGCGGGAAATAAAAATAAATAAAATTGGGATGTTGTATAAGAATTATTTTCATCACTATTTAAAACTTTTTCATTAAAAAATTGATTTTGTTTGAGAAATTTTATTAGATATTTGGTCATTATCATCGGTAATAACGTTAAAAATGCTACTGCAGCTCCGACCATCATCAAAACCCACATATTAGCAAAACAACTATCCTCAGGTGCGCTTTGTTCACCATAGGACAGTCCGGCCCCGATGGCTAACGAAGCAAATAGCCATGAATTATTTGCAACCGAATTGATTCTCACAAGGAGAAATATTAGCGGAAGGTTAAAAAGTGGTAATATTGATATGGGAGCGGCACCTAGGCCATACCAAGATAATAAAAAAACCAAGAAATAAAGGGGTCGAAAAAGAAAAAAATTTTTCAAAATTGTTTTAAGCATTTTTTTATCATTAATTATTGTCAAGGGAATTTTTTACATGATTTCTTATTTATCACGCTTATTAATAAAAAATTATCCAATCTCGTTGATCCTTACTCGATATCGTCTAGATTTACTAAAGCGTAAACAATGACAATCTGTTTTATTAATCGATAATCATTCAACCAGAATTTTGCTCGTTATTATTATTATATAAACAATTGGTAAAAAATAAAGGTGGCTTTGTAGCAAAATCAGTTATTTATAAAATTTGGGTATCTGATATGATCAGTGAACTGTATCTGTTATTTTGAATAGGAAAGCGACTTTGTTATGTAAGATAGTGGAGTTTTAAATATAACCAAAATAAACATAAATACAGTTGAACCTGTATATAAGCATACTGTTGGGCCGGCAAAATTCTATGCATATAGACAGGTTATGAATATATAGGTTTTATGACGTCACCAAAAAAAATATAATGTAAAAATTTGTAAAAATTATTTTTTATTAATAAAATTGAATTAATATTTTTTTAAA